AAACACTCTCACTCACTTGCTCACTCACTCACTCACTTATGTTGTTGGGGTATTTCATTGGTCCATTATTTGTTTGGCTATTTTGCAGCCATGTGTATCTCTTGGACTAGATCGTGCAGTTGCCCTGCGTGTTATGGACGGTAATGGATTGTGACCGTTCATTTAGACAGCTGCAATATCATTACAAACCCTCCTGCACCCAAGGCATGAAATGAAGCTGTGGTCATAGCAGGATGGCTCGGGAATTATTCTGGTTCTGTGTGCTGAAAGGAATTGCCAGTTATTTTATTCTAGCCCTGCCTCATGGCCAGGTCAATTTGTCAGTGTTCACAAATATAGGCAGCGATTGCATTCCAGGATTTCCATTGACCTGTTCTTAGTGTATCACTCCCAATGATGCAGGTCTTGGAGAACCGATTCCAACCACTGATTCCATGGTATACTGTGTGATATGGCTGATATACTCCACATGATACATTCCGTATTCCCCAGGCAGACAGAGATCTCAGCACAATCATGTATGTAATGGTAAGCTATACAAGTTTAATGTTTGTCCACGCCTAAGATATAATTTGTGTATCTGCCGAGGGTTATTCTCAGAATGGTGCATCAGTTGAGTGGAAATGGTTTGTTCACTGGCACTCAGCTCTGGCTGCTGCAGCAAGACCAGGTAGGCCCAAAAGGGTTATAATGCGCACATTTAACTCACCAGACGGAATGTAATCTCAGACATTTACCATCACCTGGAGGATATTGAATAGTCTCTATGTCACTGAGAGTTGATTTTGTAAACTTTCGATGCTTTTGCCTCAGTTGTCTTCATTCTTATAGTCTACTGTTGATAGGGTGGGTGGGGTAGACGGGTGGTTAAAGCGTTCACTCATCACGCTGAGTACCTGGGTTCGATTCTCCACATGGGTACAATGTGTGAAGCCCATGTCTGGTGTCCTGCCGTGATGTTGTTGGAATAATGCTGAAAGTGACGTAAAAGCATACTCGCTCACTTACTCTCACTTATTGGTCCTGCTGTTAGTGAAATACATGTGACCTTGACTATACCATCTCATTACTTATAACTATCTTGTCAAAAAAGATTGGGGAAATAATGAAATACAGTTTAGCAATATTTTGCTGCAGTGTGCAGGTCAAAATAATTCTTGAAGAAATTTGTTATATTGACCATCATTGGTGGACATTTAGTGAAAACTCAGTAAAGTGTCGTTTTTATTGTTTAAGTACCAAATAATACTACATGGGCAATAGGTATTGATGTCACTTACTCACTCACTCCTATTGATATTCATAATTCTTAAAATCATAATTTCTTTCAGTAGTCAAAAATGTATTGTCTTCATTCTTTCTGTACGTTGAAATGTTTCTTTTGTCAGTCTAAATGGTGTTTTTTCTTTGTAATGTTTGTTTTGATTGGATGTGTACACCGAGCTAATCGTTGACCTGTAGTTCAGTTTCTCCCCAGAAATGAGCGAACATTTTGTCATTTTGACGGATGAGATCTATGATAAGTGGTATTGATATCCAACCCAGACACACTTAACACTAAAGTGAGTGGCGATCTTTGAAATATGGTTGGAGGGGTTGCAGTTTGGTCTCTTTGTTAGAGCATGGCCTGTTTCTTGGTTCTGGAGCAGTGGAGGATGTGTGGATCAGTTTACAGGAAAGTAGTATGACTTGTTTCACTCACTGTCTCATGTATCGCCTTGTGGTTGGGATGAAGCTCCTCCATGGGTGGTGTAAAGCCTGGGAGCCAAATGAGGCAATATATTACTGGGTGTACTTACTGACTGTTGGGACTCACTCTGATAGAAATGCCTTCAGGGACACCTTTTCATTCTACCGGGGACAAGGTATGGCTGACGCATCCCAATCCATGACAGTTTCGGGGGATGTTTTAGTCTCACAGCCCCTGAAACGCATTGTTTTCCCTACTGCCTAGTCTTTTCTGCAATGCTAAGGCCTAAATAATAATAATAATGCTAATTTTTGCGCCTAGAATTCAACACAATGCTGCTCTCTGGCGTTACATTATTACCCTGACAGAATTGTACTTTCAAAGCCGTTACTAAGAGCTTCGGGCGACCTTATAGGTCCGTACATTCGCTTCTCAGGTACCCAATTTGAACAGCTGGGTGGACTGAGTGCAATGTGGATGAGGTGCCATTCCCAGGGACACAACACAGTATGAGACCCAGGTCACAAATTTTGGTGTCTCCACCGGGATTCGAACCCAGGCCTTTGGCGTGAGAGCCCAGCATGCTAACCACTACACCACTGTGTGAAGCAAGTCTAGATTCCCTCACAAATCTCCCATCTCACCAGGTCTCATTTTCTGTTTGTCACTGTCAGAATTATATATATTCAGAGACTAAGTGTTAGGCTGGGTTATGTATATTCACATTGATTTCTCTTCAAAATATTGGTAATGCGTCTGCAGACTGAAAGAAATATTAGATTTGAACCAACAATAAGCAGTTTCAGTTCTGTGTATCAAGTACATAAGTGGTTACCACAGTCGCTGCTCACACCAAAGTCAGTCTAAGTGTCCAGCAGTGTTATGACTGACTGACTGACTGAGTTTGGTTTTACGCCGCTTTTAGCAATATTCCAGCAACATCACGGCGGGGGACACCAGAAATGGGCTTCACACAATGTGCCCATGTGGGGATTAGAACCCGGGTCTTCGGCGTGATGAGCCAACGCTTTAACCGCTAGGCTAGCCCTCCGCCCCAGCAGTGTTATGATTGTGGTAACTTTACACATTGATTCATTCCTGCCTTTCTTTCAGTGTCCAGGTTAGAATGAACCTTCAGTAACCCATGCTTGTCGTAAGGGGCGATTAACGAGATCGGTTGGACAGGCTCGCTGGCTTGGTTGACACATGTCATCAGTTCCCAATTGTGCAGATCGATGCTCATGCTGTTGATCACTGGATTGTCTGGTCCAGACTCGATTATTTACAGACTGCCGCCATATAGCTGGAATATTGCCGAGTGCGGCGTAAAACTCAACTCACTCACACTCTCACTCTCAGTGTCAGTGTCACTCTCACTCTCATTCAATCGCCTATCCTTCCTCACTCTCTAATCACTGTCACACTCTTTCATTCACTCACATGTAAATGATGTAAAACCATTCTTACTTACATCTCATACAGTTTCTTAAACTTTCGCACTCTCCCATTTCCTGTCACTATCATTCACTCACTTTTAAACTCGCTCAGCTTCTCATTCACTCACTCACTCACTCACTCTTACACCTTCACTCACTCTCATTCAGTCGCTTACACCTCTATGTCTGTGTCATACACTGTCAGTCCTACTCACTCAATAACTCCTATTCCCTCCTTGGTAGGGTAGCTTATGGTTAAAGCGTCCGCTCAAGACCTGGGTTCAATTACCCACATAGGTACAATTTGTGAAGCCCATTTCTGGTGTCCCCTGCTGTGATATTGCTGGACTATTGCAAAAAGCAGCGTAAAACCGCACTCACTCACTCACTCACTCCTATTCCCTCACTCACTCACTTATTAATGTAATTATAAACAATCAGTTGTACCCTGAATATTACCTGATACCGAAATGGAAGGAGAGGATGGAGCCCTGTCACCACTTTGTCCACAACGGGATGTTTATCAATCTTCAGACATGCATCATAAGTCTTATGTCAGAAAGAACGCTTATGGAGAAGCAGAACTAATTGTTTTCTCACTGCCACTGTGTACTGTTGCCCTGACAGCAGCCCTGCAGTGACACTGCGAGATACTATCTGCCTTACAACTGTCACTCAGAGCTGTACCTCATGAGAAGGTCGTTCAGTGTCTGTGAGAACTGATACCCTTACTGAGCGAGCCTTGACACAATCTTACTGCAGTAATTGCCTACTACTTCCAGCTGGTGGAACAACACAGATGTTATTCTCGGAATGTTTCAGGCAAGACAGTTCACAACTCCTCATTGGAACAATCCTTAATACAATCTTGTTAAACTTTGCCAGTATTTTAGAAATGTGTTACACCAGGATAGTTTCCAGATGAAGCTGGCGACCTTTACTGTGGCACTGTCAATAGTCTTTAGGGAAGTACTCACAAACTATTTGAATTAAACATGAAGCTTGGTGGGTTTTTTTTGTTTATCCAGAAGAAGTAAGACCTCACCCACGTTTGTGGCAAAGTGATATTGATACAGGGTGCTCCATGGAACTAGTAGCCCTGAATGAGATCAGACAAGGCTATGAACTTATGCTTAGGAAGAACCTGTTGTCTAATGTGGGATAACTTGTATATCTTACAGATAATATTGATTTTAGACTTATTGTGCCGATTCAACTTGAAGAGTTGTTCAAGGGCAACAACTCTTCAATTATATATTCTCTGTATTTAGGAACACCCTGGCATGTTCCAACTTTCGGTGAGGAGAGCAAAATCAACACACTTGATGGGGATGAAAGATTAACACTGCACACCAGTCTCCCCTACACACTAGTGGTGTTCTGATTAATTGAAATAATCGAAGATTGGTCGCAGTGACCAAACGACCAAGCAATCGATTACATTTACTCATAATCGAACACAAACGATTTGGGAACACTGTTTTAGTCTTTGAAACACTTGACAGTGGAACATATCTTCGAAGTTGTCAGGGCCTACAAACTTGTTTAATTCTTAGAAAACTCACTACACTAACTGAAAAGTCATGACTGAATATTTCTTGAAGACTCCGGGAAGTTTATGGTCATGGTATATTAGTCATCACTTTAAAGTAGCAAGTTGCATCATGTTATAAATATCTGCAATAACAACCTGGATAGGAAAATCTGAAAAATGATGCTAACCAATATTCTTCGATGATTGTTCGTTGGTAATGAAGCAATCATCAATTGTGAGATTTCAACCAATTCCCAACACTACTAAACACTACCTCTAGATCCATCATTCATCAATACTAATATTGTTCCTGACGTAATGTATTCTGGTTTTGTTTCAGGGCGGAGGCATATTACCAGTGTATGATAGCTCCTCCAGCCTGGAGTCCAGATGTAGCAGCAGCAGTAGCATGAAGATACGACACCACTCAAGGTGGGTAGATGGTAGACAGACTATCTAAGTGGGTAGATGGTAGACAGACTATCTAGGTGGGTAGATGTTAGATATACTACCAGTGTATGATAGCTCCTCCAGCCTGGAGTCCAGATGTAGCAGCAGCAGCAGTAGCATGGAAATACGACACCACTCAAGGTGGTTAGATGGTAGACAGACTATCTAGATGGGTAGATGGTAGACAGACTATCTAGGTCGGTAGATGAATAGACTATCTAGGTCAGTAGATGGTAGACAGACTATCCAGGTCGGTAGATTGTAGGCAGACTATAAGGTCGGTAGATGAATAGACTATCTAGGTCAATAGATGGGTTAACATACATAGTTTGGTCCCACTATGTGCACTTGACACAATTTGATGTGTTCCCATGGTATAACATTGCAGCACTTACAAACGCTGCATATGTTAGCTCTAAGTGCACACCACACCACACTCTGTGACATTACGTAATGGTTGCAGCTACCACTGTTTACATCTGCTTCAGTCTACCCTGGTCTGTAATGTAAATCCCAAACCAGGGAGTGATAATAAGCTGGGTCCACGAAGCATCTGGTGTATTTACAAGTATGGTCCTGTGTATGTGTGATGTGTAGACAGGTGAATGTCCTCCTGCCCAAGATGGGCCAGATGTCCAGCATCATTGTACCTACAGCTGCATCAACACACCTAATGGCTCTTGTAGAAGTGAATTTCTTTTTTAGAAAATGATTCCTTGGTAGAACGTTGATACTTGTGAGTTTACTGAGTGCATGATAAGAAAAGACATACATTTTATGTTATGGGTTATGTTGGAAAACGAGATATGGATAAACAACTTTATTACAGGGAGGGGGGCGATGGGGTAGCCTAGTGGTTAAAGCGTTCGCTCGTCACGCCGAAGACCCGGGTTCGATTCCCCACATGGGTACAATGTTTGAAGCCAATTTCTGGTGTCCCCTGCCGTGATATTGCTGGAATATTGCTATAAGAGCCATAAAACCAGACTCACTCACTCACTACTACAGGGAGGCGATGTTTGTCAATTCATATTCTGTTTACCACTTGCCTGATAACGGTGTTAGAACCTATACCAAAACGTAATAATGCTGATGTTATACCTTATATCGCATCTGTATTTGACAATATTAGTACAGGTACATTAGTAGGAATTAGACAATAGAATTCAGTATTGTCTCGGTGCCAATGTTAAACCATATATAAGTACCAGACCTGAGGCCCAACATTAGACCACCAGGGCTCCAGATAAATTTTCAACATCAGGAGTACATACTCCTTACTGTACTGGAAAACCTTAAGAGTACATTTAGAGTACTTAATGGAATTTAATGGAGTATCAGTAATCTTGTGTTTCATTTCATATATGCACCACAACATTGGTACTCTTGTGTAAACAGGTCAATAAACTATAAAACAATACTTTTTTCAGATAAATATGATTCTAAGACCATACACCATTGCTGTAGTGTGTATCTGCTACGTTTTCTAAATTATATCCTAACGTATCGTGCACATTTTATATCCGTACATACGCCGATACGGCCCTTATCTAGAGCCCTGGACCACAGACCACAAAATAAAATCATAGTACCGATTTTTTATCCTATTCAAATTTTCAACTATATTGCCAGTATTTTTTCATTTTTGTACCATATACTCAACACTGTGTGTTATGTCCACAGTGGGGTGTTCGACGGTTCTACACGCTTCCCAAAGCTGGAGGAATGTGCTCACTTCCATTATGAGTCGGTTGAGCTTGGACCTTTAGAGGTAAGTGTGCAACTACAGAAGTAACCAATAGGGCTGTGCAATATAACCGGTTTACCGGTATTTACCGGTTCAGACATGAAAACGATAAGTATTGCGATACGCTGATCGAAAACCGGTATTTTGACTTGCATTCGGAAAACTTCGTAGCACTCGGAAATCTTCGGATATTTCCTTGTTTCATTTGTGCCAAATAGTATTCAAATTTTTATTTGTCATGATTAAAAGTTGTTATTAAAACTTAATCAAGCATAGTGATTTTGTTGTGTTTTTGCTCTATAAATCAAGCATTAACTCGATTATAAGTAGTTTTTGTTTAAAAATACTTCATGCAATATATTGCAATACATATCGCAATACATGCTTTCGCATTGCAATATATGGCAATATGAAAGTTCTCTGCAATACCCACCCCTAGTTACCAACACAAATCTTGGGATTGTACCATCTCCATGTCGGCTCCATTTAGATGGGGATTTTATGGTATTGATTTGAAGTGACCTTTTTGCGATAAGGATATTCCGATGATTGTCCATACAAAAATTTGTAGCTTTCAATGATTCCAGATTCCCGTACAGACGGTGTTGTAGTTTCCTGGTTATCTCCCCTAGGTCCAGCTTTGTGAGGAAGATAGGGAGAACTACCACCACAATGAGGAAGAGAATGGGGAATACTCGTACCTCCTCCGCGTCAAGTCCAACGACAAGACGTGGAACGTGCGGCGGACATACAGCAACTTTCGTATGTTGGACAGGCAGCTCCACAAGTGTATCTTTGACCGCAAGTTCAGCCATTTGCCTGAGCTGCAGAAAGAGGTGGACAGCAGCAAGAATAACAAGGTTTGTTGGATGTCAGACATTAATCATGACCATCGTGGACTTGGGTGTCAAGATATTGTTGTGGTTATATGCAATATTCTACATATTTGGAAAACAACGGAGCTGTCTTACTGTGTCAGGGTGGCGGGAAAACCTAGGGCTTAAAACATTCGGTCACCACGCCGAAGACACAGGTTCGATTCCACACATGGTACAATATGTTAAGCCTATTTCTGGTTTCCCCGTTGTAAAAAAAATAAATAAACTCACTCACTCACTCACTCACTCACTCACTCACTCACTCACTCACTCACTCACTCACTCACTCACTCACTCACTCACTCACTCACTCACTCAGCCAGTTGATAGCTCTTAGAATTAAATGTTAGTAATTATGAAACAGTCCATGCTGGAAACTTTAACCTTGGACTAGGCCAAGGGCTAGTATGAGTGAGTATGGTTTTACGCTGCCTTTAGCAATATTCCAGCAATATCACTGCGGGGGACACCAGAAATGGGCTTCACACATTGTACCCATGTGGGGAATCGAACCCGGGTCTTCGGCGTGATGTGCAAACGCTTAAACCACTAGACTACCCCACCGCCCCGGCTAGTATGAACTCAAATGAGAATATGACCTCTTTTCCTTGGTGGTGTACCAAACCTTTAGCTTACAATATCTGTATGCGTCTCTTGTCATGTAAACATGCAAGAATACCTTTTTAATGTAAATATTTTTACATAAGTTGGAGCCAAGGTGCAATGTTTTCCTTTGCCAACAATCAGATGAAAATAGTTGTTGGCACCAAACAAAGTCTTCAGGGAAATGTTAGGCAAATGTTTACTGCCCTGGACTACATCAGCGTGAAGTGGAGCAGCTGGACTTAATTTCGGGATGTTCTTGGAATAAGCAATTAGATACGTAGGTAGTTAACCTGAAACCATCTCATCCTGATGATGAAACAGGCCATGGGAACCGGTCTCAGAAAGCCATCTACGCACTGAGACAATTGAATCTCCCATCATGATAGCTGTAAGATCACTTTGTGATCCAGGACTGTGTTTAAATTTTAGAGCCCATGTTTGGGTCTAGGTCTAGACTGTGTAACATGAACCCTGTGTGAAATTGACTTAATGCCCATGTATGGGCACCCAGCTAGTGATTTTACAAGTCATACATACTTGAGTTTCCAGGCAGGTAAAGTGCTTTAGGGGGCTTTGACCCAACATGTCTTGTTAAGATGACAGTTCAATTTTACAACGCAGTATCTTGTCATCACTTTCAAAATGGTGTAAGATGGATGTTATAAGTAACTTTTCAAATATCTTGATGAGGTTCTTCAAAGACTTGAAAAGTGAAGCCTAATGTTCCTTTAGTCTAAACAATACACAATGTGTTGAGTTTCTTCTTAATGAGTTTGACAACAGTGATTTCTGATATTATATTTGTGTTCATGTTAGTCCTTCATAGAAAGTGTGATGTCATCACTTTGTGTGCACATAATTATGTGATGTCATCATTTCATGTGAACATATGATGGTGAAGTCATCAGGCATGTGAATCACCCTGGGGATAATTGAATAAAATGAGTGGTGAAGAGAAAAGCACATGTTATTGTGTGGCTCCCTCTGGTGTTGATCAAGACCTGTGTACGACATGTAAAGTGGTTGTGATTGGCTGAGTCACTGCCTGGTTTGAACAGCTCTCGACAACACACTTCCACAAATGCCATGGCTTGTTAATGGCAACAGCTAAGAAGTTATAGCTGTGGAAAATGTTCACAGATTTCGAACCACTACTGCCGTTTTCATCATACGAAAGGAAATGAGGATTTTATTCTAGAAACTTTCATAAACCTGAACTTGTGGGCATATTCTGTTTCATGTTTTTGTGATATGGATTTAGTGGAACTGCCAAGCTCGGTGATAGAGAGGATGGATCTTCATGTGTTTTCATGATGGACAAATTGGTGGAAATATTGACATAACGTCTGTCAACATTCTGGAGACAACAGTTTAGACACAGAAGGCATATCACGAAATCTGGAGGTTTGGTTCAAATATTGATATATAACTTCAGTTATAATCAGCGGAATATCTCAACATGCTAGAGACAGCAGTGGAGACACTGAAAGCGTTATCAAGAAATCTGGATCGTTTCATGTGATTGTGGAATGGAATTATGGAATATTGGAGTATTGGAATATTGATTTCTCAGGTGAGTTCTGTCAACATCGGAGGAATATCTAGAAATATTGGACACTGCAGAAGAAGAAACTGTAATCAAGAAACATGGACTTGACAATGTTGATATGACTTTTCACATTGATTGAATGAACATGGAGTATTGAATTCTAAGGTGCTGGAGGGGACGTGTTAATGAATTAGTTGTTTTTCGGTGGGACGCGGTGGGCGAGCTGTATAAGGCGCCAGGCTAGTGATACAGCAAGGTTGAGGTGTCGGGATGGAGCCCACCTGTGACCGGGTGTAAAAACCTTGGAGTCAACTTTGTGTGCAGCCTTTTCAGTGTTGTCACAACCCCTAGTGTACATTACACAACCCTGTTGGTATATGATCAGATGGTGGCCCCATGAATACGTGCAAACACCTAGTTGCGGGTACAGCAACGTATAGTAAACTTGGACAAAGTACTGTGATTATGTGTCCCAGTCCACCCAGCTGTGAATGGGTACCTCGTTAGGATAAGAAAGCCACAATAACTTGGTGCACCTAGTGGCTGCAAGAGTTGTATACTCCCCAGGGAGTTGAGATTGATAATACGATGTGCCATTGAGATTGACATCCAATGATCGAGGGAAAAATACCAGCACCTTGAGCATGTACTAGTTGAGTAGATGTGTGCGCTATATAAATATACTGTAATAATGATATATAGTGACAGTAATTCCTGAGAAGATTCAGAGATGAAGGATTAGTCGTGTTTTGAAGAGGATGTGTAGTGGAAGTTGCAATGTGGAGTTTGGTGACAGTGTTTATGCACAATGGGTGAATAAGATGAAAAGATAAAGGTGACTCTCAGCCTGAAGCCCATGGCCATGGACGACAAGCTTGCATCAGAGTGTGTTCTTATGTACATCAGACAGATCCCGCATCAAGACAACATGTGACGTGGATATTGATTCTTGAGTCTGTCAAGATTTGTTTCAAACTTCACTGAGACAGAATCTTACTTCTGACATAAAGGTTCCATTTGGGCAGAAGTTTTGATGTTCAGAACTGGATAAAAAACATCAGGCTTGACTTGAAGAGTTCCGCCTTGTATGTGGCGCTACAGGACTGTCATGTGATTGTGACATGACAGGTGCTTGTGTTGTCATGTGTTTCCTCCAGGTGTACTCCAATGAAACATGACATGTAATGTCAGTCATATGGATCGGTAGATACTAGTACAATGAATGTGAAGATTTGTTCCATCATATTTTTTAGACAGTGAATTGAGGACCTATTCCTAGCTTGTGGTGACAGTGTCAGAAACATTGTCAAGGTGGTTGGTGGGAGAAATGTGTCAACAAGATTTCATAAGTTGTTGACAAATCTTTGCAAGAAAATGTCTGCCTATTTAACCAGGACAACCACACATGGATAATCTTCCAGTGAAGTCAATCATCACATAAAAGGTCAGCTAATACAGGAAGTGTCAAGTACAACCTCGAAAAACTTACCCTCACATGTTATAATTATGAAGCCATTATATATCCATACAATGAGCACAACTTGCATTTGAAGTAACACAAGCTCAGAGAAATCTGATAAACAATTCTTTCTGACCTGGATAGAGGCAAGTATATCTGTCTAAGGATGACTTTATGACGAAGACCCGGGTTCGATACCCCACATGGGTATAATGTATGAAGCCCATTTCTGGTGTCCCCCACCGTGATATTGCTGGAATATTGCTAAAAGCAGCGTAAAGCCATACTCACTCACTCACTCACTCACTCACTCACTCACTCACTCACTCACTCACTCACTCACTCACTCCTATGTTACTGTAACCTTGATCAAATCATGAATATTGGTTTAAGAAGATTATATTTGGTGTATGATTACAGCAGGAACAATCACTTATTTCCTGACCTCTTCAAGAAGTTAAACATGTACTTTCGGTCAGCAACAAGCTGGCAGACTTTCTTGTAAGTGGCTAAGATAATTAGTGTGGCAGTGATCTAACTATGCTCTTGTTTGTCTATGACTAATGTCTCCAAGCTATTATTCATCACAAGGATTTGTTCATGGGATTACTATAGCCAAAGGGAGACAACTCTGTTGTCTTGGAGCCCAGTGCATCTACCAACAGTGATTCATTTCTAATCACATTCATTGTGTGGTGATTTCAACAACAGGACACACAAGTCCAGATATATTACAAGCCCACCTGACACAAGTTACCTGATTCTAAACAAGACATCCCAGTTTGGAAAGGATCACTAGTGTCTCCGGATCACTCTGAACAAACTGTTTCTTACCTGATCCATGTATTCAGAGGAGCTTGTGTCATGCTGGATTAGCGTCTTCAGCCTAGATGCTGCCACTGATGTTTTGTGACAAGAGCAAATGGAGATTATTCGTCATATTTTCTATTCTACAGGAATATGAGCTGTTCTAAGGCATGTGCTTTGTCATGATATTATATATGAATGTTGGTTTTTATTTTATGTTCTAAAGATGGTGGAATTTGGAAATTGGAACTCACAATTGGGTGGTCTGAGCTCTGATATTGAGATCTGAACTCACAATTGGGTGGTCTGAACTCTGATATTGAGATCTGAACTCACAATTGGGTGGTCTGAGCTCTGATATTGAGATCTGAACTCACAATTGGGTGGTCTGAGCTCTGATATTGAGATCTGAACTCACAATTGGATGGTCTGAACTCTGATATTGAGATCTGAACTCACAGTTGGGTAGTCTGAACTGTGATATTGAGATCTGAACTCACAATTGGGTGATCTGAGCTCTGATATTGAGATCTGAACCACAATTGGGTGGTCTGAACTCTCTTGTTGAGATCTGAACTCACAATTGGGTGGTCTGAACTCTGATATTAAGATCTGAACTCGCAATTGGGTGGTCTGAACTCTGATATTGAGATCTGAACTCACAATTGGGTGGTCTGAGCTCTGATATTGAGATCTGAACTCACAATTGGGTGGTCTGAGCTCTTATATTGAGATCTGAACTCGCAACTGGGTGGTCTGAGCTCTGATTTTGAGGTACGAACTCACAATTTGGTGGTCTGAACTCTGATTTTGAGGTATGAATACTCAGTTTGGTGGTCGTCGCCCCGTTCCTACAAGTGATTGTAGTGCAAAGATGATCGTAACTCACATACTCTAACATAGACTTACGACTGTCATAGCACTACAATCGCTTTGAGGAACGGGGCCCTGAACTCTCATACTGAGGTCTGAACTCTGACTTAGGAGATCTGAATCGTCAGCTTAGTGGTCAACTGAAAGGTCAAATCTCTCAGTTGGGTTGTATAATGTCTGAATTGAAAGATCTGATCATGTGAGAGAGATCATCGATAATTCCATAACATGCCCAGTGTGTTAGTCTCAAATGTTTTTGTGCGTGTTTTTCACTGATGTTGTTGATGTTGCAGGAATTGGAGAGGGTGTTGAGGAGGTACCTGAAGCACTTCTCAGAGATTGCTGGAAGTATGATCAACTGTGGGTCGGTGCTCAACTGGTTAGAGGTAGGCTGTGGAACAGCTCTATAGATAGTTCTGTCACCTAGTGGTTTAAATGTTAACTCTCCATCAAAGACCTGCTTTCATGTTCTCACATGGCCATGTTTCTGAAGCCTCCTTCTGTTTATCTTCATTATGATGGATGTTAATGAATGTTGTGTTGCACATTTCACAGTCAAATATAAATGATAATATTGATTGTAAACCAAAAGTCACTGTGTTCTTTAATCTGATTGGTTGAAAAACATGATCAAATGGTATTTGATTCCCGGAAATTTGCTGCGTAATAATACATACAAAGATCGCTCACACCACTGTATTGTTACGTCGTCAGCTGTGATGATGTCATTCAAATCATATTGTGGCATAAAGTTCGAATGACGTCACAAATGAGCAGTTCCAGATGGGAGAGAGCCGAAACGGCCGGCTGATGACATTTCATTGCTGTACCCGAACTCGATGTCAATGATTGCAGACACAAAAATATGTGTGGACCTTTTGGTTTACTTTTGTGTTTACAATGTCGATAAACATCATGTGTTGGCCAATTTCCGGGTGTTATTGAGTATTTGAAGCTGATGCCGTCGGATCCAAATGAATTCCCGTGCTTCAAATACTCAATAACACCCGGAAATAACCCAACACATGATGTTTATCTCCTAAAAGTTACGTTCTTAATACAAAGATTCATGAATGACTTCTTTTCTCGAGGGGAGGTAGGGGTAGCCTAGTGGTTTAAGCATTTGCTCATCATGCCAAAGACCCGGGTTCAATTCCCCACATGGGTACAATGTGTGAAGCCCATTTCTGGTGTCTCTCGCATGATATTGCTGGAATATTGCTAAAAGCGACGTAAAACTCAACTCACTCACTCACTTCTCTTGACATCCCTCTTGATGTTCATGTTTCAGATTGACAATCGAGGTAATCGCCTGCTTGCTGTTGACGATTCCGGTATCAACACCCCTGCCATCGCTGCTGCACACGTTGTCAAGCGCTACAATGCTCAAGCTGTAGATGAAATATCTCTCGATGTAAGTCAAGAAGGATTTAAACACACATTACGCGTCACCTGGCACGTCTCGGGTCAAGGTGACCTGTCTGAGGTCAAGGTGACCTGTCAATTGACAGAACCAATGAATAAGAAGAATCATTGTTACATGGTTACCCTGACTACAGTATTATACATGAATACAATGATTAGGTACAGTGTTAAAGCACAGTGATGGGAGACAGTGTTAAATATAAATATAGTGTCAAATAAGGTGTTCAGATAAAGTGGGGTTTTTTTGTCAGCAATTTACCATTGGAGATACCGCCTCCGTGGTGTAGTGGTTAGAGCTTCCACCCGGAGAGCAGGAGGTCGCGGGTTCGATCCCCGACCGCGTCATACCAAAAGACGTAAAACTATGGTACTTGTTGGTCCCTGCCTGGCGCTCGGCATTAATGGGGACAACAAGGACTGGTCGGCTCGGAATCAGTATAATGTGTCTGAGTGGGGTATTCATGCTTCACTGTGGCATGGTATCTCAGTGGGCTAGCACTATAAAACCAGCTTCAGTCTGGGCTAGTACAAGCAGCCGCACACACACATACACACGCATGCCCGTCGTCATATGAGCGAAATATTCTCAAGCACGACGTAAAACCCAATTTCACCTCACCTCACCATTGGAGATAACAAAACTTTAAGGATGATAAACATCTTTATTTTGACAATAGCGACGATTCTTGTACCATTTTCATTCGATGCCCATGCTGTTGATCACTGGATTGTCTGGTCCAGACTCGATTATTGACAGACCACTACCATATAGCTGGAATATTGCTGAGTTCGGCATAAAACTAGACTCACTCACCCACTCTTATACCATTTTCAAGCCTATAACGGTATTGGAATCTATACCGAAACGTTGCCATTGTTAAAATAAGGAAGTTGATCATACATAAAGCTTTGTCATCTCTATACCACCAACTTCTAGAATGCCACTTCAAACAAATAATTTACATATGCTGGAGAACATGGCTGACAGGAGTCTTGATAACATGTGGTACCTGAAATGGTCAATGAACTGACTGATATCTGTTGCCTTCTTTACTCGAAGTAACGTCAACACTTGTATGTCATCAGACACATCGTCACAATATGGCTGAGATATTGCCGATGTAATGTTAAATATTTACACACCAACTCACTCATCAGACACAATTTTTTCATCCGTCTAATCAAACCATGTCACTGTGTTCAAGATTTACAGTAAATTCACTTTTTCACTTTTCGCAATTTACTCTTGCAATGCAATGCATGTCTTGAAAAAGTAATACTGATTATGAGATGCTCCCTGTTACAGGTGGGGGACATTGTGTCTGTGATCGACATGCCTCCAGCGGATGATACCATTTGGTGGCGAGGGAAGAGAGGGTTTGAGGTAATATGGCACCATCCAAAACTCTGGATGTTTACTTACAAATATAGCGATAAACATTAGTCAAACTTAATAATTTCATGACATTATTTCATTCAAATTTGTGATTTATGAAAGAATTTACTTCTGTCCATGCACAGTAAAGAGTCTGCGAGATCTCTTGGTTTTGAATCCATTTATCGTAATTATATATTTAAACAAATCCTATAACGGCACACTCCCTTTTATTTTTGACCCGTGAAGATCCAGGTTGGAATTTATCTTCTGTAAACCATGCTTGTCGTAAGAGGTGACTAACGGGATCAGGTGTTCAGACTCGCTGACTGGGTTGACACATGTCATTGGTTCCCAATTACATAGAACGATGCTCATGATGTTGATCACTGGATTTTCTGGTCCAGACTCAATTATTTACAGACCACCGCCACATAGCGAGAATATTGCTGAGTGCGGCGTTAAACAACAAACCAACCAATCAACCAACCCTTTCAATTTACAATATTGAGTCAATGTTTGTATTGGCAGGTTGGTTTCTTCCCGAGTGAGTGTGTGGAGGTGATCGGGGACAAGGTGCCGCCATCCATGGCATCGCGTATACCTCCACCTCCAGCTTCCAAGAAGCCCTGTAAGTAGACCCTCAAACAGCTGATGTACAGGCAAGCAGTTAGTTAGGAGTCACAGCATCCATTACGTGCAGTTACACCATTGCGGGGAACTCACTGGATTCCAACAATCAGTTATCAACTACTTTCTCTACATTTTCAAGAAATTATAAAACAATATCAGAGTATCTGATGAAAACCTATTTTGATGGGAATTCAGTATAAATTTTCTTCCATTTTCTGTACATTTATCAGAAATGACAAATCGAAGGATCTGATTTGTCCTCATCTGATTTTTTACAGTTTTAATTTGAGTGAAAAAGCTTACAAATTAATAATCCCTGTGTCAATGAGTAATGTTTGTGAACCAAATTATGACCTAAACATTTCACGATATTTTAGGTTTGTGATTGGCAAGAATTCAGATGATATTCCTACTAGCAAGTTTTTCTTCAGCATAAAATATTATCAGTTTGTTTCCTTAAAATAGCATGTTTTGCTGTGTGTACTTATATCCTTTGAATTGGAACATTTGAAAAACTTGAATGGATGGAATATCTGAACTGCCTCATGAATGTGAGGATTTTGTGATTGACTAAGGCTGGAAGTTTGTGCATGAGTTAATAACAGCATGGTTGTGTCCTGGGTGCCGTTGTACAAAACAACCTTAGCGCTAAGGCTACCTTAAGCCTATGTTAAGGTATGTAGTAATTCTGGCTTAGCGCTAAGGCTACCTTAAGCCTATGTTAAGGTATGTGAGTTACGGTCACCTTAGCGCTAAGACCCCTTTGTACAACGGCACTGTGGGCCTGATTACTGGAAGTGTTAACCGGGGTGTTGATATTACATTACATTAGCTGGCCATGCACTGGCTACTTTTACTTGAACTTATTAAGTGCAGTATCTGAAAATGACATTGAAACCAAGAAATATTAAGAGTCCAGATTAGCATGATGAATGGACTATCATTAGCTAATATGATTGTGCAAAGACAAGTGACCTGGAATATCAAGGCTGTATATAGACACTTGATGTGGAATAACATGCCAGTGAATAGGCAATTTATGTGGAATAACTTGCTCATGAATAGACAAGTGACATAGGCTAATATGATTGTACAAGTGACCTGGAATATCAAGTCTGTGAGTAGGCAATTGACGTGGAATAACATGCTCATGACTAGACAAGTGACATAGGCTAATATGATTGTACAAGTGTCCTGCAATATCAAGTCTGTGAGTAGGCAATTGACGTGGAATAACATGCTCATGACTAGACAAGTGACATAGGCTAATATGATTGTACAAGTGACCTGGAATATCAAGTCTGTGAGTAGGCAATTGACGTGGAATAACATACTCATGACTAGACAAGTGACATAGGCTAATATGATTGTACAAGTGACCTAGAATATCAAGGCTGTATATAGACACTTGACGTGAAATAACATGCCAGTGAATAGGCAATTGACATGGAATAACATGCTTATGACTAGACAAGTGACATAGGCTAATATGATTGTTCAAAGACAAGTAACGTGGAATAACGTGCCTGACAACAATTGCTTTCAACACCCCTTCTGTGTTCCAATATATGTATTCATCTATGTTTGTCTAAGATATATCCTGATTTGTATGCATATTACTGAAGCTGTGTATGTGCTACTAAACCAGTGGTATATCACTAACAACAGTGTTTATATTTTCCCTTTATGTAGGTGGGCATGAGTAGGAGGTTTATTTAATCCTTGGTTATCACAGACTTGCATGAATCTTGGATTTGTTTTGACTCGATGCATTAGATGATTTATTTAATTACCTGACATGGTTGTGAGTGAGTGAGGTTAGTTTCACACTGCTTAAGCAGTGTTCTAGTAATATCACGGCGGGGGACACCAGACATGAGCCTCACACATTGTACCCATGTAGGGAATCGAACCCGGGCTACAGCATGACAAGCGAACACTTTATCCACTGGGCTACAACCCCCTCCTGAAATGGTTATGCTTAGTACATGTACCTTCCATTCATCAGATGTATTGCTGCCTTCAACATCTGCTCATGTTCTGGTCCAGACTTAAGTATGCAAAGCCTTACAGAATGTGGCGGGAAGATTGGCATTCATTCATTCATTCAACCCCAGATTTATTCTATGGCTGCATCTAAGGCCCAAAATTTCTATCAAGGACACTGAAAATTGGGGATGATTAGCACCTTTACCAGTGTATGAAATAAGGCCCATCCGACAGCCCAAGATGGGCCAGATTCCTGACAGACGGTCTAAATTCACAGCTAACCAGACCGATGATCTGGTAAAAAATTTATATAACATGTTCCATACATATGTGTAAATTCACCATATCTTAAAATCAATTTTTCAAATCTATCATTACATTTAGACTTGACAAGTACTGTTTGAACATTGAACTATCGTATCCCAAGCTCAAAGCACTGTGTTGACATTATCACTAAAACAACGATACCTACCGATGCGAATTCTGCAAATTGTCTGGTCTGGTTAAATACATTTTGGGCCAGTAACATTTTGATGTTGCCAGCTCTTTACACTGTAGGAATGTATCAAGATATGTCAAAAGGTAGTCTGTCTCACAGTCCCTGAACCACATTATTTTCCCTACTGCCATGCCCCTCTCTGCAGTGCTAAAGCCCTAAATAAAGCAAGTTTAGATTTCCTCTGAATCTCTGGTCTCCCTAGGGCTCTTTATCATTTTAAATGGGCTTGTTTGTTACTATCAAAATTCTATATATTCAGACACTAAGCATCAGTCTAGTCGAATGGTGACTTCAGTGACACTATACTCCTACCCCAAACCTCCCACTTCCTGTATTGACCCCAGCATGTGGAGGGAAGGGAGACAACCCCCTCTGTAACAACACTAACCTACCTACCTGTGTGTGTGCTTGATGCATGAACCTAGCATTATGCATGTTGTTTTTGCAGTGATGAAAAAGCATGGCAAGTTGATGTCCTTCTTACGGACGTTCTTCTCCACCCGTCCAGCTCGCAACCAGCTCAAGCAGTCCGGTATCGTCAAGGAGAGAGTCTTCGGCTGCGATCTCGGGGAACACCTCCTCAACTCGGGCAATGATGGGGAGTTGAGTAAGTACTTCAACATTCTCTCTGACTCCCGGTTCTCCCAACCAAGTCCTGGTGACAACTCCCTTGTGTGGCAGCATGTGAAGATTCCTGAGTTTCTTTGTTTGTTTAACGCCGCACTCAGCAATATTCCAGCTATATGACGGCAGCTTGTAAATAATCGAGTCTGGACCCGACAATCCAGTCATCAACAGCATGATCATTGATCTACGCAAGTGGGATACGATGACATGTGTCAACCAAGTCAGCGGGCCTGACCACCCGATCCTGTTAGTCGCCTCTTACGACAAGCATAGTCGCCTTTTGTGGCAAGCATGGGTTGCTGAAGACCTATTCTACCCCGGATCTTCACGGGTCCCAGAAAGCCAAACCACCCGATCCCGTCAGTCATCCTTAAGACGAGCACGGGTTGCTGTAGACCAATTCTAACTCAGATCTTCACGGGTCCCATGTCAGCTGAGACCCTAGGACCTTGTCATTAGGACCAATGAATATAAGGAAGTTTATCTTTTTGTGTTATTGCAAGAAAAATATCCACAAAAATACTGAATTTTGTAATAGCTGGTATGTGTTCTCTAATCACTGGAGGATAACCCGGGTCAGGTCTCCACCGTTGATATTGCTGGAGCGTATTGCTGAATGTTGTTACCCAGACTCTACTGGGACAGTATACTCTGTGCTGTATGTGTACAATGTGTTGTGTCTGTTGCAGTCCCGCTGGTGCTGAAGAGCTGTACAGAGGTGATAGAGAAGCATGGCATCGTGGACGGCATCTACCGCCTCTCCCGGCATCACCTCCAACATCCAGAAGCTCCGGTATGTACAGTTGGGAGAGTGTATAACATCATTATCTGTGTATGTGTCATCCTCGATAATCTCCAGGGTATACGTTACGATCACTCTCCACTATACCCTGGATGCATCCGTGGCTTGGGGCAATGATTTATTACCTCCCTTGGCTGGCTCCACATTCTCACAGTAGCCAATCAGCTAAGCCGCCGTTACAACCGAGCTTGCCAGTGTCAACAAAGATAGCGGTCGCAGTCGCTAGGTTTGTTCGCAGTGCCACTCAGATTTTTGGTGAAATAATAAAGACAAATTCACAGATCTGAAACTTTAAAAAAAAATATATGAAAGAACTCCTTCTACTACTTACAGATTACCTCTGCATCAATTGTGTTGCCAAGTTGAAACGGTTAGATAATTTAAGAAGCGAAAGTGAGTTGTGAGTGGTATGCTCAACTTCCCAGCGTAGGCACCTGATTGGATAAAAAGCCAGCCAAGGGAGGTAATCAAATCATCGTCCAAAGCCATGGATGCATCCAGGGTATAGTAGAGAGTGATCGTAACGTATACCCTGGAGATTATCGAGGATGTGTATGTCTCTGATTATGAGGAAAGTGCTCAGTTTCACAGTCCTTGTTCTGAGAGTTGACCAGTATGGTTCGAGTGACCTTGCTTGGTGAGCATGGAAGTGGTTGCCCTAACTGTTGATCACTTTATTGTCCTCCATGTTATACTTGGACGCCTTTGTGATATAGCAGTGGTGGGGTAGCCTAGTGGTTAAAGTGTTCACTCGTCACGCCAAAGACCCAGGTTTTATTTCCCTCATGGATGCAATTTGTGAAGTCTATTTCTGGTGTCCCCTTCCATGATATTGCCAGAATATTGCTGAACACTGCTTAAAACCCAGCTCACTCGCTCACTCACTTTGTGATATAGGTGAACTATTACTGACTGCAGTCTAAAACAACACTCACTCACTCATGAATAGTGAGTGAGTGAGTTGAATTTTACGCCCCACTCAGCAATAATCCTGTTATATGGCGGGGGTCTGTAAATAATCGAGTCTGGACCAGTCAGTCCAGTGATCAACAGCATGAGCATCGACCTGCACAATTGGGAACCAATGACATGTGTCAACCAAGTCAGCGAGCCTGATCCCGTTGGTCCACCTCTTATGACAAGCATGGGTTACTGAAGATCAATATTCTAACCCTTACCTTCATGGGTACATTATTATGAATATGTTCAGATAGATGTATGTATCAAGAATTTGATTATTCAACAGCTTTGTCAGAATAATTGTAGGTGCATAAAGAGCATGATGTCACACTGATGTGAAGCTGGTTAATTCTTTGATCTGAGATTTGTCATCTACGCTTTCTCATCAGTCACGTGAGTTCCGTATATCTGCTGTGACAGGTTGGCGTTTGATGAGGACCGTGTACCGGATCTGACGGCCGACTGCTACCTACAGGACATCCACAGTATCAGCTCACTCCTCAAGATGTACTTCCGTGAACTCCCCAACCCTCTCCTCACATACCAGCTGTATGACAAGTTTGCTGTAAGTTGGTCTGTCTCACAGTTCCTGAAGTACAATATTTTCCCTTCTGCCTAGCCCTTTCTGCAATGCTGAAGCCCTTAGTGAAGCAAGTATAGAATTCCACAGGTTAAGGGCTGAATTTCCCTTACGAAAAGAAAGTGTTCGTTTCTATCAAAATTATATACATACAGAGACTAAGTGTAAGTCTAGCTGTAAGCATGCTCCTGCAGTTACATTCCAACCGTGCAACCTTGATGGTGTGGTTTGGAGCTGTTACGTTGCACTTAATTATTTTATGAATCAAACCATACCTCTTCATGAATTCATTTTGTTATTCGTGATCACTGGAGACGATTATTTATCAATTTTGAAAAAGGATTGTTTTTATGTGAATTTGGGTTTTGGGTGAAGCTGGATGTTAGTATAGTGTAAATACACTCTAGTAAGACAACACCTCCCTACTAGATGTTTGGGAAGCTGTATGTGTGCCTCCACCTCAGTGTTTCTTGTGTTCCAGGATGCTGTTCGGGACGAGGACAACAAGCTCCTCAAGATCCACGATGTGGTGCAGCAGCTTCCTCCACCTCACTACAGGTGGGCTTTGTTGTCGACATCATTACAGCTGTCATTATGTTGCTGACTGCAGATAATAGTGATATTACTATAATATTGCTGACTGCTGTGATATAACTGCGATATTGCTAAATGCTGACTGTTGTGATATAACTGTTGCTGACTTAAGGTTTTGATATAGCTGTTGCTGACTTAATGTTTTGATATAACTGATATTGCTGACTAGTGAATGCTGTATTATAACTGATATTGCTGACTAGTGACTGCTGTGATATAACTGATATTGCTGACAGATGTGATATGACTGATATTGTTGACTACTGACTGCTGTGATATAACTGATATTGCTGACTACTGACTGCTGTGATATAACTGATATTGCTGACTATTGACATGTGATATAACTGATATTGCTGACTACTGACTGCTGTGATATAACTGATATTGCTGACTACTGACTGATGTGATATAACTGATATTGCTGACTACTGACTGCTGTGATATAACTGATATTGCTGACTACTGACATGTGATATAACTGATATTGCTGACTACTGACTGATGTGATATTGCTGACTACTGACTGATGTGATATAACTGATATTGCTGACTAGTGTATCCTGTTTGTTACAGAACCACGGAGTATCTGATGCGTCATCTGGCAAGGGTGGCAGGCTTCGGCCCCGACACTGGCATGCATTCCAAGAACCTGGCCATTGTCTGGGCACCCAACCTTCTCAGGTACTGTCATCAGCATGTCAAGACTTGTTGGCATGGCAGTGTACTTGAGAGTTAACATGTATCATTTTTTGGTGGGAAGATTTATTCTGGGTTAAACCTTCTGAAATCTGATCATTCTAAGTCATGTATATATTATTTTCAGTTTTCTAAAGTTAGTTATTCTCTCGGGATTCCCCACATGGGTACAATGTGTGAAGCCAATTTCTGGTGTGCCTCCTTCCCCCATGATGCTGCAGGAACATTGCTAAAAGCGGTGTAAAACCATACTCACTCACCACTTGCTTGACAACGACATTAGAATCTATGTCGAAATGTCGCCTATATACTGACTGACTGAGTTTGGTTTTACGCCGCTTTTAGCAATATTCCAGCAACATCACGGCGGGGGACACCAGAAATAGGCTTCACACATTGTGCCCATGTGGGGATTCGAACCCGGGTCTTCGGCGTGATGAGCCAACTATTTTCCTTACTTTGCTGTTGATGTGTGCAGGTCCAAGGAGCTTGAGATGGGGGGCAGGGCAGCGGCCCTTCAGGGGGTGGGGATACAGGCCGTGGTGACGGAGTGTCTCATCTGCTACTGTGATATCATCTTCAGTGATAAAATGCCTTCATATTCATCACCAGAGCTACAGAGTAAGTATTCACCAGTCTACCATGTTGCAGTGTGAGCAGTTTCACAAACTGAATTGTCTTAAAGGTTGGAATTTATGGATGTCAACTTCTTTATGTTAAGGAACACGACGTTTCAGAGTACAGTCAAATCCTGATGAGTCGAATTCGACTTATCGATGTATTCGAGACATAGGTATGTCTGTGAGGGTAGAAAAAAAGATGATCCAGTCCTAATTCCTCCACCTAAGCATTTGTTTACCTAATGATTTCCCTATCACTAATAGGGGCACCTTATCAGTTCCAGTCTGATTAGCACAGACAGTGATTTCCATGAAATCACTACCGGTAATCTGCCTTTTGAACTCACCCGTCAATGGCGGAAAGGTGCATGTGAGCCACGCTGGTTTGTTAATTGGATCAGTTTGCTACACCAATCAACTTCTCATTGACTGACTTCGGCTTATGTATACAAGATTGCTGTTGTTTGAATCTCATGGGACCAAATTTCCTTCTCGAGTCATTGTGTGTATTTTTGAGACGAATTCGTGTAACCGGAAATCAAATGATGACAACTATAACAGGGAATGGTCGGGACCGACAGGTACTTCGAGGTTATGCATAATATTCGAGACACCAGCATTCGACTCATCGGGATTTGACTGTATATTCTTACTCCTTTTTCAGGTGGATGAATGAGTAAGAATAAACTCCGAAACGTAGCATCCCTTAAAATAAAAAAAATGACATCCATAAATTCTTGCCTTTATGTGTATCGCCTCAAACTGCCGTTCAAAGACTCAGAATTGTCTTGTACAACACGAGACTACAGGGACATATACATCCACTTTGTGACTCTCAGTTTAGTAATTGGGCCAGAACAACATCAATTGTAATTTATCAAGTGGCACTATGCCATTATGATGTCTGTACCACCTGCCTCCAAACCTGTATCAGTTTTTACAAGAATGTGACTGTTCAATCAGTCATAAATATTTCATCATACACTTACAAGAGTGTAACCATTCTAGACCACTGCTGAAAATGTACAGAACATCTTGAAGATTTGATTTAAATGCAGTTTGTATAAAACATGAAAGCTTAGGACGTTTTCATAAGGCTTGGGCCAAAGTCTTACAACTGCAAATTTGAAGTCTTACTTGCCCCCTAATCAGTTGGATACCATTTTACACTGAACCTGTTGTAAGTCCTTGTCAAAGTATTGGAGTATAGTCGCAGTCGATTTGCAAGGTTTTAAAGTTGTTGTGTTTTTCTACAGAATCTCACAAGAAGCCGCGGCCCAAGTCCCTGGCGATCTCCACCCCCACCCGTCTGCTCACCCTGGAGGAGGCAAGGGAGAGGGCCTTCCTCGGGGGACTCAACCCCAACCAGCGCTACATCGACGTTGGGGGTGGCCCTGACAGTCTGCCTTCCAAATACCATACGGTCATCGACCTTCCTGGATACAGGTAATGTAAACAACAATATCTGTCAACACATGTGGATCAGTTCTCTGGGAATAACAGTTGATGAGTTCTCTTTTAAATGGATAAGCTGGTCAGACTGTATCACTTGATTCATTGCATTTCATTGTAGCCAGACATAGGAGAACAGTATCACTGGTTTGTCTTGTCAAGACTCAATTATTGGGGTAGCCTGGTGGTTAAAGCTTTCCCTCATTATGGGGTAGCCTCGTGGTTAAAGCTTTCCCTCATTATGGGGTAGCCTTGTGGTTAAAGCTTTCCCTCATTATGTGGGTAGCCTCATTGGGGGTAGCCTGGTGGTTAAAGCTTTCCCTCATTATGGGGTAGCCTCGTGGTTAAAGCTTTCCCTCATTATGGGGTAGCCTTGTGGTTAAAGCTTTCCCTCATTATGGGGTAGCCTCGTGGTTAAAGCTTTCCCTCATTATGGGGTAGCCTTGTGGTTAAAGCTTTCCCTCATTATGGGGTAGCCTTGTGGTTAAAGCTTTCCCTCATTATGGGGTAGCCTTGTGGTTAAAGCATTCCATCATCTCCCACATGGGAACCATGTGTGAAGCCCATTTCTAGTGTCCCCACCATTGCTGGAATATTGCTAAAACAGGCGTTAAACCATACTCTCACTCACTTATTTATATAGGTGAACTATTGCTGGCTGCAGGCTAAATCACTCACTCACTCCAGTGTTATTTCCAGGAAATATACAAACATATATATAAGGGGAGCTCTGTTATCATTGTATTTCTCTCAAAATTCAAACTTTACCTGTCTTCTAATGAACACTGACAAACACTGTCTGCAAACACTGTCTGAGATATGCAGTGGAAGAGATAAGCCAGGGTTGTTAGAGTGTTCAGTGTCAACATACTGTGATTTTCACATGAGTACAGTGTCACATGTTACCTCTACAGGAAGAAGGCCAACACAGTGAAGGAGACATCGTCCAAGGGCAACAAGAAGTCGCCGGTGAGCGGGTGGAAATCCTTCTTCTCCAAGCCCCGGGCTGGCAGCATCAAGAAGGCCCGCAAGTCCAGCATCCAGGGCAGCCACAAGGAGCTGGGTAGGACTACGACGCTGCTGTCGCTGTTACTGCTGCTGCTACTGTCTCAGATCTTTAATGAGAAAACCTATATGCAGTCCATGCCAAAACTTTCAGTTACCTCTGTCACTTGATATGTTTTTCAGTAGATTGGATGGAACATTTATTAGCAAAGCTTACCTGCTTAATAGCTTGAAAGAAATTTTACTAGCCTCAGCATTCTGTGCTAAAACTTTTCAGTCATTTTGAGGCTGTCACTTGATATCATTTTGAGGCTGTCACTTGATATCATTTTGAGGCTGTAACTTGATATCATTTTGAAGCTGTCACTTGATATCATTTTGAGGCTGTCACTTGACATCATTTTGAAGCTGTCACTTGATATCATTTTGAGGCTGTCATTTTGAAGCTGTCACTTGATATCATTTTGAAGCTGTCACTTGATATCATTTTGAAGCTGTCACTTGATATCATTTTCAATAGATTCTGGTGTTAAGTGAAGGACGTTCATCAGCAAAGCTTACCTGCTTATTCGACTGAAAGAAATTTTACTAGCCTCAGCATTCTGTGCTAAAACTTTTCAGTTCTTTTGAGGCTGTCACTTGATATCATTTTCAGTAGATTCTAATGTTAAATGAAGGACATTCATCAGCAATGCTTACCTGCTTATTAAACTGTGTGAGAACTTTCAGTCCTCTCTGAAACTGTCAGTTGATATCATTTCTTGGTATCAATGTATGGACATTTATAGCAAAGCTTACCTGCTTAATAGACTGAAAGAAATTATTTCATTCTGGCCTCAGGGTACGAAATAGTACCTGAAGTCATACATATTTGTTCCCTTTCAAGATAATGCTTGTATGGCTCAAGATATGTTCCTCTCTCTGACACTCAACTCGTTCGTGCTCTCATGACTCACGTGCTCTCCTTAAATCTAAATTCAGTTGAAATTCTGTTTAAACATCCCAGTTAGTCCTCGTTATCACTGGTTGGTTCAGACTCCATAATTTACAGACAGAAATCCTAGGGTACAGCATAAGCGGCACACGTACTTGGTCACTGCTGTCACTGCTGTCACATCTTCTTCTCATTCTGTTCAGTCTCATTCCTACATCACTCCTCCTGTAATAACTTTGGTCCCTCAAGTATCTATCAGAGTTATGTCCCATAGTTGTGCCAGGATCCACTGAACCCTATCTATTCTTCAATATTACCCTTTGTCTGTCAGCACTGGTTTATAAAGGTATCAGAGGTGATAAGACTTCTACAATCTTCCGGCACTGAGATCAATTCCCCCATGACCCAATCATTATGCTCCTTTATCATTAATCAACTAAGGAGCGGCAATTTACAGTTCAGAGCTGATATAGCCACATACACCTGACATATTGTTCGGGGTTCAAGCCAGGCCTCCCTCCTACTCACCCCGCGTTGTGTTGCAGACACTGTGAGTCTTGGTGGCGTGGGGTCGCGCCAGGCCAAGGCCCTGACGGAGGAGGATGTCCACAACTGGAAGAAGAGACTCCGGACGGCCAAGAGTGCCGAGTCTCTGCTCTCTCTGGCAAGCTCCAGTCGGAGTTCCAGCAGCAGGTGCTCCAAGGTCAACGACAACCTCATGGTCGTCAATGTCTACGGAGGTACGGGGCACTACTGTTTCAACCTTGTGATGGTTCATACACTCGCAGACAGCATGCATTGTCACTTACCCCCGCCCGACCCCACTCCCAGGAACACGTCTGTGCCAAAGACTTTTGAGTCTTGCTTGGCTCTTAGCATCATTGGTAGATTAGCAGATTAGATTAGAAGTAAATTAGTTTGGTTTTGCATGTAGCATGTTTTGTCACTCAGAAATATTTGTGTTTTTCGACTTATTAAGTTATGGACTAGCATTGAAAGAAAATATTAATTAGAAATTATTTTATTAATATTCATTTGTTGTGTGTGTTTGAATTGGGAACTAGTGTTAAACCTAAATATGACAAAATTATTTAATGCTATGTTTGTTTGAATAATTGTCCTGAAATTTTGAACTACAGTTTATAAAAATTGTGAATTCAAAATATTTTCCTAAAGTCAATTACTGGCATAAGTGATAATTTGATATAGGTTGTTATGACTGCAAGTACATAGTGCACTATGTTATTATGGTCTATGTTTATTATAACCATGTTCTCCCGTGGATAGGGACAGTGGAGTAGCCTAGTGGTTAAAACGTTTGCTTATCACGCCAAAAACCCAGGTTCGATTCCCCAAGTGGGTGCAATGTGTGAAGCCCATTTCTGGTGTCCCCAGCCGTGATATTGCTGGAATATTGCTAAATGTGGTGTAAAACTAAACTCACTCACTCTTCCATGGATAATAACAACAATATCACATGTCTGCATGGTGTCTGTAATGGCCTATAGTAACACAGTTGTATAGTGGTGTTAGTGTTTGCATGCAGAGCTTTAATTATTTCATGTTAATTCGTTTTTCCCCCTAGAAGAGAAGCACCCGCACACAAGTCACCACAAGCGATCCCTGTCATCCGACGCCACAGCCATCCTCCATCATCATTCTTATGACAACCCTTTCACCAACAGCGGTCGTGAGGTCCCGATCGACGTGGACCTGTCCGTGACTCCTCATGGTGGGTGCATCAACTCAATGGATGCATATTGACCTGTTGAAACATGTACCAGCCCCAATATGGTCTGATCATTCTTAAACCACCAGCAGCATGGAGATCTGGGTTAGAACTGGTCTTCAGTAACCAATGCTTGTCGTGAGAGGCGACCAACAGAATTGGGTGGTCAGGCTCGCTGACTTGGTTGACACATCGTATCCCAATTGCATAGGACGATGCTCATGATGTTGATCACTGGATTGTCTGGTCCAGACTTGATTATGTACAGACCCCTGCCACATAGCTGGAATATTGCTGAGTGCAGCGATAAACAACAACCAACCAACCCCAGTATACTTTCAACACTAGACAAATTGGTAAATGTTTCTTTACCCTAAATTTCTGTTCTTTTGTTTCAGAGCAAGGCATTGATCCTCACCAAACTGGTCGAAGGTCAAGGTCAGAGAAGCGGGGAGAGCCTGAGAGGAAACAGTCATTTATTCGAGGGGATTCTACCAGGAAGGCCTTACATCGTAGAACGCCGTCTGCTCCAAACACACCCCGCAATGATCGGAGCTCTAGTGAATCTCGTAAAGTGTCATCTCGGCATAAAACCTCGTCTCAGCCTTCGCTAGAGAGTCCCCACCTTGAGCTGGGCCGGGATATGGATTCATCTCCCGGCAGCTGTGATGAAGATGAGCAGACGGATCGGTGGCTGGGCAGTCTGCAAGGCGACTCTCCTCAAATTCAGAGAAATGTGGTGCGCCAAAATGGTGATGGAAAACCACCAAGATCTAGTGAGGAGATCAGCCCACAGAAACGCTGCGCTAAAATGCCGCCAATTGGGAGAAAGAAACAGAAGGCAAATGTTGAGAAAAATATCAGCCTTGGTTCGAGTGAGGAGGACATCCTGACCGTGCAGCTGCCTGAAAGTCCTGGTGCTAGGAGAAAAGGACAAAATGAATCCGAGAAAAGTGGTGACAAAAATAAAAATGAACCAATCATTACACAGTATTTCTACTCACGGCATCACGATCACGCTGAGATTCTTTCGGATGAGGACTCACAACAAAATGGAAGTCCAAAAGTTCGGGAGACCATGATCATGGGATCTCCTTCTAGTATGAGTGAGTTGATTGATCAACTGGACAATAAGTTGACCTCCACTGGGATGCAGTATGGTATCTATGAAACAATTCCTTCTCCTCCTGAGAAGACCATCCAGAAAGCCGGTGGTGGGAAGGTTTTAGAGGAGAAACATGCTCCTCCAATGGAAGTGAAGACTGAACACCTTCCCAACCGCCCAGTCGAATTTCGAGAAATTGGTCCTCATGAATACAAGGAAATAAAAACACCCGAGTCCAATAAAAGTTTGAACTCTGAAATCAAAACGTTGGAGAGCAATTTACAGCAAATGCATCACAGTCAGCCCCAGCCTAAAATGTCGAAGTGTTTAAGTGTGCCGTCAGACATAGCTAAATCATTAGAGAATGTGAATGTAGGCAGTCAGTCCGACCTCCTGTCGTCTGTGACAATCAGTGAACTGTCTCAGTCCGCAGACAGCTTCAACCTGAGCCTCTGTGATGACAGCCCGATGGGAGAGGCTCGGCGCCGACGGAGCGCTTCTCTAGACAGCCTCACAGACTCACCGTTAAGCCGCACCCTTAAGGAGATCAACATGCAGATTGACAATGCCTTCAAGAGGAATGTTGACCGTGCACTGGAGATGGAGGAAGAAGGGTATGGTCGGCATGAAAGCCCTGTCGACGATCTTCCCCCTCTCCATATATCAGAAGATGTGCTCACACCTACAAATCCACAAGAGACAGATTTCCCCAGTGAGATCCCTGACTATGCTCGAATAGACAAATCCAAAACAACAAAGCATAAAGTAGAAAAACAGGAGAGTAGTAGTGTTCCTAAAATGAGGTTTTCACCTGTTGATCAAATTGAGATTGTTTCTGGGAATGTGAAAACAGTTCCTCCATCAGCTCAACAACCACATCAAGACCGGACTGTTCGTGACAGTGTAGTGAATGGGCAGACCGGTGCTGTGAGTTTCAGTGTAGTGAATGGGCAGACAGGTGCTGTGAGTTTCAGTGAAAGAAACAACAGCAGCAAACAGACTTCAATTGCTAAACCTACTGACTTGAAAATCGTAGCAGCCCCAAGGGTTCTGAAGGCTCCAGCAAAGTCTTCTGGTGAGTCTAGTTCTAGGTCAGGGGCTCATGTCGCAGATATATGTGCTCAGGAAGATTCCTCCTCCTCCTCAACCACCTCTTCTGATTCCGAGTCATCAACAGAGACAGAGTCAGAAGACAACAGTGAGTGCAGCATTGAGTATGTGTGTCACAACAACTCTCAGCCCACAAACTTTGCCACAGGTTTTCCACAAAGTTTCTCTGAAAGCCACATATCGGATTCTGCCATGGTGCAAAGTTCTTTAAGAAACAGCAATGCCAGCCTTCCCGGCTACAGCTCCTCCGGCGGCAGAGACTCTGACATGGTGGACCAGGAGTCCATCACGTGGAGGGACAGTCCGATATTCTCAGATAGTGGCAGTCAGGACACACCCACTGGAACATTAAGATCTCAAACACCAAGAGGTAATATCACCAGCCCCCAAAGCATGGGAAGATCCAGTCCTAGAATCCCATATACAGCAAGCAACAGCTCAGTAGAGAGCAGTCCTCGGCTCAGCCCTCGGTCCTCTCCCAATGTTGTACAGAACTTGGACCACAGGGGGAGTCATGATGGCCGGTTTGGGGGAGATAGACTCGTACTGCCAGGAGACTTCTACTGCACAGGAGGTCAGCCTGGAGGTCCTCCTCACTCCCCGACCTCCAGACACCGAGACCCCCAGTATCCTAGTGTCAGCTACCGTGGAAGCGTCTCCCCAAGCAACTTCCACATGTCTCCGTCACTCCCTGAAGTCCATGTCGTCCATGACACTCTCACTGTGGAGAAATCAACAATTAAGCGATCAACCACCGAATCCAAACTTGCTGACAAGACGTCACAACAGGTTTCAGACGCATACTCTTCTAAAACATTTCCCAGGAAGGATCCCGAGAAAAGATACCATCAAAGAATGGCATATAGACATGATCATGACAGGAGTAGTGAGATGATGGATGTGGATCATGTGTGCAATATGTCCGACAGTGTTCAGTCGGACCGGACATCCCCCTGTTCTGTTTCTTACAGTATTGACTCCGGTAACCTACAGCAGCACTCCCAGTTTGGGGTTGACAGTACAGTGACTCCTGACACCTCAGTGACCTTCACCCTCAACCCTCAGTCATCCTCGTACCACTCTGAGGTAATGGAGGTGGAGACGTCACTGATGCTTTCATCTGAATCAAACAGTCACAATTATGTTCACAGTAGTTACAAAAAGTCTGAAAGTAGAGGAACTGGGGTTGTAAAAGTTGAAAGTTTTGATGAGGTGCGGTCGGAAGTGTTTAAAAACGTGTTGCATTCTGGGAAGGAAATGACTGGAAAAGAGCCTGTGTCTCATCAGAGTCAGATTCCTGTCAAACGAGAAAGGAAGTCAGTGCCTGTTCCAAAGAAGCGCCAGCAAAAACATGCTCCTCCCCCTGATTGTGATGACATGCCCTCTCTGTATGGGGGGTCCTTGATGGAACCACCCATTGTGAAAATTCGCGCCCCCTCCCCACGACAAATGCCCGACCTCGCTCCTCCAAGCCAAGAGGTCATGGAGGTCAAAAGACCCACAGTGAAAAGAAGCGAGAGACAGGAAACTCCCCCGCTCTCCTTCGGCCAGGATAATATTTCTAGGACAGTTATCGTGAAAGAAATTACATCCGAAAAGGGAGATGCTAAGTTAGTGATAGAAAGACGTCCAAACCTTAAAAAGAGTATACAGACTGTACGTGCCAAAAGAGTTCCACATCCACCTCGGCAACTGGCAGAGGGTGTGGATGATATGTCAGACTCTGTGACCCCTGACCTCTCCAGCACAGGTCCTTCTGATGCTGACCCTTCAGGAATCTCAAGTCAGGAGGACGATGTTTTCTCAGACATTGATTCACATCGCCAGCGACTCCCACTTCATCCTCGTTTCACCCCCGACCCTGATGTTTTGATGATAGAAGAGGGCAACATGGTTGAGTACTCTCAGCCCCTCCATGTGAAGACGTCCAAGCCTGTGATGGCAACCCGACATTTCGAGGACATGATTGGAAGCAGGTCGTCCCTGGATGAATCAGTCCTCCAACTTGCAGCTGAACGCCATGACACTTTCGGACCTGAAGATCTTGATTCTGAAGAATCTGGAACCTACCACACAGGATCGTTGCGAGTGAAACGAAGTCAAAAGATGCAGTCTTTGATGGATCTGTTTGAGAAGGGGTCGGACCAGAACCTGGCTGACAGTTCCAGTCCCAATGAAGACTGTCAGCCTTCTCCCCAGTTGTCCATGTCCCTGCCCTCCAGCGCTTTGAGAAGCTTGGATGGAGACATGGACACTGATGACGAGGCCTCAGCCCCTTCGCCTCGTCTCGTACACACCAGTCTCAGTCGGAGGTCACGATCTCGCGAGAGGATGAGACGCAGTGGTATGGGCTCGGACAAAGAGAACAGGATCACATCAAGGAGCCCGACACCAACTAGGCAGAAGGTTTTGCATGACCGGGCTGTGGAAGAGCGTCACCCTCCATCTTCCCCCAGCTGAGGTCGGGCGTGAGTACAGAGCAAGGCGAAAAGAGAAATACAACAACTTCAGTAAGCCACCCCGCTACAGGAGCGGGTCACATGGGCGCACACAGAGTGAATCATCAACGTCAGAGTCAGAAGGGTCACACTACATGGACGGTTCCTTCCACAGTCGGTCAAGTGATTACAATGCCAGTTCTGGCAGCGACACAGTCCTGAGAGACAAGAACAGGTCTCAGGACTGGTCTGACCCTAGGTCACAAAGCATCAGACATGTAAGCGACGAAAGTCCTCACGAGAAATCAGGATCAGGACTACAGAGAAGGGGTAGCATCAAGGAACTCATGGATTATTTCGAGAGGCAAAAAAATCAGGAAGAGCAAGGTCAAGGTCAAGTTCAAGTTCAACAAAAAGATGAAAGGTCACCTCCTGTGAAACCAAGGTCAACGAGAGGTCGTGTGCGAAGTGTGTCCCCATGTCAAGGAGCTGTGTCACGCCCTGCCGTGGATGCTTCCACCCCACCCAGTTACAGATTCAGCCTGGAGCTTCCTAGTTCTGCAGCAATCGCCATCAATGAAGGAGGAGGTGTCAAAAATCAGCCTCTCAGGCTCGGGCCCAAACCTTTCTACGGGGTCAAGAAATAATCTCTACAAGACCAAATTACTCATTACTGCAGGGATAGAGCTTAACCTTAGATCCAATAGCCAGAATCAAGATTATTCCAAACTATTGATCAGACTTCTGAAAAATCGTCAGATCCCATTTATTTCAGTTTTTAAACTTCTGTCCTCAAAAGAAACAACATGCAGCTAAGCAGGGTTCAGTGATAAAGTTTCAGTTTTTGTCCAACACTTTATTTATGAACTTCTCAGATCTCATCTGAAAAGGGTCCTGTTTCCAAAGTGGTTGTGGGGCTGAGGAGTAGCCTAATGGTTAAAGTGTCCACATTTCGTCACGCTCAAGACATGGGTACAATTCTCCACATGGGTACAAAACCCATCTCTGGTGTCCCCTGCCATGATATTGCTGGAATATTGCTAAAAGCAGCACAAAACCATATTCACTTTCAAAGTGGTTGTAGACCATTTTTCAGTAGTACTTTGAAAGGGAAGTTCACTATCAGTGTCCCCCATTATTACAACCCTTAGAACCTGTGAAGGTCCAGATTAGAATATTGATCTTCAGTAACCCATGCTTGTCGTAAGAGGCAACTAACGGGATCGGGTGGCCAGGCTCGCTGGCTTGGTTGACACATGTCATCGGTTCCAATTTGCGCAGATCGATGCTGTTGATCACTGGACTATCTGGTCCGGACTCTATTATTTACATACCACCGCCATATAGCTGGAATATTGCTGAGTGCGGCGTAAAACAAAACTCACTCACTCACTCACTCACTACCCTTAGATTTACTCCCATTCCTGACATATCTATTACCAGAGATACTGAGGAGGCTACTGGATCTAATGTAAGGCTCCGTCCCTGCTCATACCGTCTCAACTGTATTGAAACAACACCATGAAATGTGTGTTTGAATGGATGGAGGCGACAGATACTCATTGTGTGATACGCGTGTGATGTCTGTGAGTGGAGGTTTCTGGTCAACTGCTGTATGTAGAGACTGCAATGCAAGCTGAGATGATGGTGAATCTCCACCACAGCCTACAAGTGCTAATATTCAATTCGCTGTCGTTATCATTTTATCGATGTCTTGCCTTTTATTTATATTTTTTAACCGAAATCAAAATCAAAATCATTAATGGAATGAAACATGTTTTTTGTACACGAATATCAAAGCATTTAATATATTAGAAACTAGTTCGGCATTAGAGTTTGTAAATACTGATTTTAGGTTTTCATATCTCATTGTGTATAGTTCATTCACATACCATGGCTGGTCTGATCTGCTCAGTAGAGGCACATTGTATATTAACGAGTTCGGATGTGTCATTCACAGAAAATCTCCTCTCTTGTTGAAATCCTTCCCTTTGATTTTCTGTATATAGGTCCTGAAGACTGTCTGAGAAACGACTCAAAACCTATGTTACAAGTAAAATAAAATTGTCGTCCACATTGCAGCAGTGATGAAAATCAAGTATGAGAAAATGTGTGAGGATTTGATTTTGTTTGTTTCAATTTTGAATAAGGCATTCTAATACTGTCAACATATTGGTGTGTGTTACCTCAGGGATGTCTTCAACAGATGCTGACAGGAGTTACCTCCCCTTGTTTGTTAGGCGTCTGCTTCAATGGATATGATAATCCACCACTACCAGTATAGACAATGTTTGTGTCCAGATCTACTCAGTTTTGATTTCCGTTTCTGTTTCTGTTACTGGGCAGTACTTGTTTCTAAAACAGTATTTGGAAGTATCGCTGTTCATTCATCTCTCTCCATCCAGACTATTTTTATCATTTTAGTTGAGGATCCACCTTGTGATGTTTTTATTACTTAAGACCTGTACAGTTGTTTCTTCGTCCGATGGAGGATTGTTTTCTCAGCAGAACATATGAGCAACTTTCTGCACAAGGTGTTGTATGGTCTATGAAATACTAACTTTGCATATATATCTGCAATTTTTTTTATTAATTCTTGCCGATTCTGTAATACTGGTCTCAGAAGAAGCATAATACAACATAGATCAGCCATCTAACAGACAACAGCCAACAAGAAGCAGGTTCAGTCAGAACTGGTTAGAACCGGTTTCGACTGATCACAGCCAGAATGAAGTGCAATGAGAAGATTGCGAATCATTTGTTGAAAACTTGTTTATTTGCATACAAAGTGTATATATTTGCAGAATATATATAAATAATCTTAGTTAGCTGTTCTGTATGTAACACTGTCTGTTGGTTTAAGCATTGAAAGTGCAATATTTTAGTATTCATGTGCCTTCTGACAGGTCACAGGATGGACAGCTGTGTGTGCAGGAGATCCGTTGATCCCATCATGGACAGACAGCCAGAACACTGTAGATAGTTGACCAGCCTATTTCATGCTTAAGTGTAGCATGAGTGGCCAATCAGTCTGTTTTATGGTCTCTTGTGTTTTGGTCAAGATGATTTGTGACTTTACTAAAATGAATTGGAGACCAGTAGGAAGTATGTGTAATTCTTTCCATCAGAGATTTAATGTTAGGTCAAAACATAAACATTTATGTATCAAAAACATAATTGTCACTCAGTATCTTTGATCTGGGTTCTCAAATTTAAACCTTTTAAGATCTGGGCCCCATTTCTCAAAGCGAAAATAGAGCTAAGATGATCGTAACACTCATACTTTAACATTGACTTACGACTGTTGTAGAACTACAATCGCTTTGAGAAACGGGGGCCCTGGATAGTATCTGATTAAACTCATGATTTACAGTATAGTGTGTCCAATTTTCTGTGTCAATAAGTTTTATCCAGAAAGTCAGACATTAACTTACCTAAGAACAGAATCCCTGATTACCTCCCTTGGGACAAGGTCAGTCCACAAACTGCTCAGTGCTGACACATAAGGAGCCATGTTTAAGACAATAGGAGTCTTGTTAGTTGTGATGACGTCTCCTGCACAAACAGTGGACATCTCGACCTGACATATGATGGCATCGTCGTCATCCCGCTTCTGTACTTACATACATGATCGCATCCTCTTAGCTGCATCTGTTCCTGTAGTGTGTTGAATCTGGTCAGTTTTGGGGACATGGATGTAACCCTCCAACTTCTTTGAAACAAATCCAATCTAAACTTGACATTAAAAAATTCAAAATACAATCTCATATTAAAGTAGATCGGGCTCACTTTGAAGACAGCAATATTACTACTGCAATGATTGTCATTCCCGTAGTCGCAGCACAGACATCACATTGTGCAAGTGGGCCCTGAATTTCAGCCTCCAAATTGAACCTGTAAATATTTCAAATTTTAACCGGCTTACTTTCATGAAATGGCAATTATTTTTGTTCCAGATGTCTGTACCTGCAACTATACATGAACATGTGTTTATTTGTTATTGTTTCAGGGTAAAATTGTTTCCCTAGAGTTTGGAGAAGGTAGCATGTGACTTACAATGCTAGTCTTTAATATCCGATGAAACAGCTTGGTGGTGTAAAGTGACAGGGTTTGATGGAGTGACATAAGTTCCAGTTGGCAACGGAGCGTCACTGTTTCTATGCATGATGTGTACATGGTCACATGATGGTCACATGACTGACAGATAACTCCCAATATTGTACAGACATCTCCTCCCCACCTGTATCTTGTATTTACTGTGGGGACATATTGGCCATGGTAGCTGCACTTCCCACGGTCGTCGTCGTCATCCTTGTAGGACGCTGTTCATTCCGATAACAATTCCAGCCAAAGTTCAGAGTGAACATTCCGGAAAGATTATATCTTGAACAGTTTTATCTTTATTCAGGAATTGTCGCTTTGTATCTTTTTAACCCATAATCAAATATATTATCCAATGACTTATAGTCATGAAATGTATGCATAGAATATCGGCAGTGTATTTACGTATGACTCATGACTGGTGTGATTTCTCATAGATGAGATGTGTTTAGCATCATCTAGTAGAAAATATAAAGGTGTTGCTTTTGAGGGTTAGAAAAAGTCCCATATTGTTTAGAAATTACCTTGTTATGAAAGGGAGATAACTAGGTTATATCATGCAAAATATGACAACAGATATTTATGGCAATATTTTCTTTAATTTTATATATTTCATAACATTACTCCAAGATAATATCTCTGAAAGATTTCATAGATTTGATGAACAAGGTTTCAGCTTCACAACATACAAGTCATGAGCCAGATCATAACAGAATTTATGTAATCTTTGTACAGAATTGGACAGTGTCACTCCATCAAACCAACCAATGATCTAGCTATAAATTGGTCATGTGACAGTTTCTGACCAATCAGCTGTTTTGTTGATAACAGAGTATAATTTCCATATTGTCAGTTGAATATCGTGCTTATGAGTGGTTAATTGGCCATTACTACTGTCAACTAACACTACTGTAGAAAATAGATGTTTATTTATTTTGTTTATTGTATTAGTTGTCCAGTTCCAACAACTGTCGGTGCCGATGAGCTAGAGAAGTGGTTCAGGGTCAACATATCTCACTCTCTCTCACTCACTCACTCTCACACACACACACACACACACACACACACACACACACACACACACACACAGACAGAGACTACAAGAATCAACAGGTTAATCTTCTCTCATTCACATAATTCTTCAGCCAGCAATAGTCCAGCTATATAAGCGACCTCCCCTGACAATGTACATCTCTTGAATATTAATTGGGATTTCGTTATTTCATAATTTATTAGGTTTTCGAAGGAGCAACTATTTATCAGAAGAACCCATTTACCTTCACCTCTATTACATATTTCCTATAATTCACATTAAAATATTTCCTAAAGAATAAAATAATCTATTGAAACATCATTTAATTAATGGAAAACAAAATATGTAAATATTACATTATTTTATCAGATTTATGTAGAATGTTATGAGCACAAATATAAATATGGACATGTGTATGTTAAGATATTGAAGAGAAGGGTGTAGCATAGAGTTAAAAATCTGTGCCCTGTTCCACCGGAGACCTGAGTTCGTCTCCACTTAGATAGGCCATGGAGACCTTGTACTTAGGACCAATATGCTTTATTGTTGATAATATCAGTATGGAGCCACTCTCATTAGATGCAGGCAATCTATAATGCATGTCTTGTTGGCTAATGTGGAGCTAACTACAGCAATGATAAGTCCTGAACCAGTTGTCTGGATCAGTCAGCACCGACAGTATCTTTCTTCACCTATTGTTATTATTGACCACTGCTTCAGAATAAACTCATGTGGTTCGCTGTATTTATGTTACCATGGAAACTAGTGATGTCATCGTATGTTAGCCAATGATATTGAAGCGAGTGTGCTGTGTGTCACATGACCTTAGACCAATAGCGTTGTATGGAGCTGAGGTACCTCATAATAATAAATTGATCATTGATACATGTTGTGCTTCTTGTTTCTTGTTGGCTGACAGAGAATCAGCAATAGTTCTTCTAAAGGGTAGCCTAATGGTTTAAGCGTCCGCTAGTCATGATGAAGACCCGGGTTCAATTCCCCACATGGGTTCAATGTGTGAAACCCATTTCTGGTGTCCACCTCCATGATATTGCTGGAATATTGATGAAAGCGGTGTAAACCCATCACTCACTCACTCTTCTTCAAAACTTTAGACCGCCTCCATGGTGTAGTGGTTAGAGCGTCCGACGCCTGGAGAGCGGAAGGTTGAGGGTTCGATCCCCGACTGCGTCATACCAAAAGACGTTAAAATATGGTACTTGTTGGTCCCTGCCTGGCGCTTAGCATTAATGGGTACAACAAGGACTGGTCGGCTCGGAGTCAGTATAATGTGTCTTGAGTGGGGTGTTCATGCTTCACTGCGGCATGGTATCTCAGTGGGCTAGCACTATAAAACCAGCTTCAGTCTGGGCTAGTACAAGCAGCCGCGCATACACATACATACACATGCACGTCGTCATATGAGCGAAATATTCTCAAGCACGACGTAAAACCCAACTTCACCTCACCCCAAAACTTTAAGGTTAACAAGAAGACAAAGTCATCAATATCCCCAGCAATGGCAAAATACTCTTCATGAATTTGTCTACGCGTTATGATTATGTCAAATGTTTTGGTGTGTATATAGAAAAGTGGAAGGAGAGTATTGAAAGGTTTTTAAAGTTCTGCTCAAGAAAGGAGCACTACCACCAATGTCAGTCGAAGTCGAACTTGTTGCCATGGAAATGCAAAAATATTTAATTCAGAAATCCAAAACTACCAAAAGGCACCAGTACACAACCAGACCTATGTATGTGCCAAGTTTGGTGAAGAAACAGTGAACGGTTTTAGAGTTCTGCTCTGGAAAAGAGCACTACCACCAATTTTAGTCTAAGTCAAATCTGTTGCCATGGAAACGCCAAAAATATTTAATTCAGAAATCCAAAACTACCCAAAGTCACCAGTACACCACCAGATCTATCTATGTGCTAATTTGGTGAAGAAATATTAAACGATTTCAGAGTTCTGCTCCCGGAAAAGACAAATGTGCACGGGCGCACATACGGAGTCCATTTTAATACCCCCCCACAAAATGTGTTGCGGGAGATAATGAATGTTGCACAGTTGAAGCTGAGAGGAATATTGAGAAACAGAATATTTACCCCCACCAAGTTCCTACACCACCAAAAGATCAAGCAACATGTTAACAGGAAAGACTGGGCAAATATCAATGGAAAGAACGCTTTCAGACCTCTCAGCAGAACACCAGTAATTCGGTTTCTCCTGCTTTTGTCCTATAATGAAGAACACTGGATATTTAAGCACATACCTTGAAAAGTGCCACCTCATATACTACCCATCAAAAGTTAGACACACTTAAAGCATTTACTACATGTTATGTATGTATGTAGGTAGGTAGGTAGGTAGGTGTGGTTACATCGTAGATGTATTTCTCCCCTAACTTGGGGGGAACCAACTGCAAACCTTATGCTGATGAATTGCATGAGCATTATTGATCAAATTGCAGAAAAGCATGTGCAAATATCATGGATATGAACAGCTGCGTTGGGTGTAAAGTGTTGTTAAAAATTCGCCAATTTTCATCATTTATTTAACTCATGACAATAATCTTTTCAATGTTACGAATTTGTTTTACAATACATCAGTTGATGCGTCAACAGTACCTTTAAACAGTATGGAATATTTTTCAAAATCTAGTTTAGAACAGTTGACTGAAGTAAGTGGCTACATTTACACTAGTGAGTCTAAACTTTTGATGGGTAGTATATATACCAAAAGAACTGATGACGGCATCAAGAGTGAGTGAGCGAGTTTATTTTAACGCCCCTTATATCAATATCACGGCGTGGTACACAAGAAATGGGCTTCACACATTGTAACCATGTGGCGAATCAAACCCTGTCCTTTGGCATGATGAGCAAACGCTTTAACCGCTGAGCTACCGTCTCACAGCACCAAGAAGTGCAATATAACATTTTACAGTCCAACAACCAGTACCAGCATGCGATATCTGACCCCTTGACCTAAACAATCAATGCGTTAACATACAGAATCATAGAGCACAAATGTCATTACATTCACACACTGATTAACTATTGTCATGATGATGATGATGATAGGATATTTATATAGCGCACATATCCACGCTAACTAGTACATGCTCAAGGCACTGGAGTGTTCCCTTCATCAACGGATGTCTCTCTTTTTCTGGCATACTTTTTAACCAACTCAACTACCTGGGGAGTGTTATGTTGTATATGAAAACAAAATGAGCTTTGCCTTCAAATTCCACTGGCAACTGCATCAAATTGTTCAATCAAATAATATGACCCAAAATAGAGTTGAGTAGAATTTATTCACTTTAATCAAAGGGGCAGTTACCGTAGTAACACACATTAACATGACTATTTTACTATACGATAGCATCACAAGAAGTGACAAATCATGAAAAGTATAAAGTGTTGATAAATGCTGATATTAATCCCTCATCAGGGATGTTGTCTGACATTGCACACCCTGTGCAATCAAACATTGCCATTTGATTCCTCAAACACTTTCACTGACGAGCTCCAGTGATAACAGTCACCAGCTTCGATCTGAAAGTTGACCACTTCCTGTGTATTCATTCTTACCGTCTTCACTAGTCTGCGACAAAAATACACTGAAAGTAACCGATCAAATCCTTATTAATCATCTTATTTTGATAAAAAGACTGGAGAATTAGGGGACACTCATACTGTGCCATGAAATTTTGAGTGTACGTGGCAGGACTTGGCTCTTTGAAGTATTTGCAGCATTATTTTTGCAGTTTATATATATCACATTCTGTTGTGTGCTAAACCCTGGAAACATTCACAAACTTAGCTTCAATTTTAGGCAAAACCGTAAACAGACACCTTATCAAATTACTCTATCCTTTCTGATTGAAACAAAACACTGTATTACCAATACCATATTTTTTATGACTGTATGTCATCACAATTTGTCAACCGTTGTAGCGTAGTTGTGCTGCAGGTATACCATCACAATTTGTCAACCGTTGTAAGCGTGAGTCTGGGTGCTACAATCTGGAACATCTGTATGTCATCACAATTTGTCAACCGTTGTAGCGTAGTCGGGTGCCGCAGTCTGGGACGTCTCTATGTCATCACAATTTGTCAACCGTTGTAGCGTAGTTGGGTGCTGCAGTCTGGAATGTCTGTATGTCATCATAATTTGTCAACCGTTGTAGCGTAGTCGGGTGCCGCAGTCTGGGACGTCTGTATGTCATCACAATTTGTCAACCGTTGTAGCGTAGTCGGGTGCTGCAGTCTGGGACGTCTCTATGTCATCACAATTTGTCAACCGTTGTAGCGTAGTTGGGTGCTGGCGTCTGTATATCATCACAATTTGTCAACCGTTGTAGCGTAGTCGTGTGCCGCAGTCTGGGACGTCTCTATGTCATCACAATTTGTCAACCGTTGTAGCGTTGTCGGGTGCTGCAGTCTGTATGTCATCACAATTTGTCAACCGTTGTAGCGTAGTCGGGTGCGCAGTCTGGGACGTCTCTATGTCATCACAATTTGTCAACCGTTGTAGCGAAGTTGGGTGCTGCAGTCTGTATACCATCACAATTTGTCAACCGTTTGTCAGCAGTCGGATGCCGCAGTCTGGGACGTCTGTATGTCATCACAATTTGTCAACCGTTGTAGTGCGTCGGGTTGCACAGTCTGGGACGTCTGTATGTCATCACAATTTGTCAACCGTTGTAAAGTCTGGTGCTGCAGTGTGTATGTCATCACAATTTGTCAACCGTTGTAGCGTAGTCGAGTCCGCAGTCTGGGACGTCTCTATGTCATCACAATTTGTCAACCGTTGTAGCTTTGTCGGGTGCTGCAGTCTGTATGTCATCACAATTTGTCAACCGTTGTAGCGTAGTCGGGTGCTGCAGTCTGGGACGTCTCTATATCATCACAATTTGTCAACAGTTGTAGCGTAGTCGGGTGCTGCAGTCTGGGACGTCTGTACGTCATTACAGCGTGTCAACAGTTGGAGCATAGTTGGATGCTGAAGTCTGGGACGTCTGTATGTCATCACAGTAGGTACATCTGTATGTCATCACAGTATGTACAACTGTATGTCATCACTGTAGGTACATCTGTATGTCATCACAGTAGGTACATCTGTATGTCATCACTGTAGGTACATCTGTATGTCATCACTGTAGGTACATCTGTATGTCATCACAGTATGTACATCTGTATGCCATCACAGTAGGTACATCTGTATGTCATCACAGTATGTACATCTGTATGCCATCACAGTAGGTACATCTGTATGTCATCACAGTATGTACATCTGTATGCCATCACAGTAAGGTACATCTGTATGTCATCACAGAATGTACATCACATCTGTATGTCATCACAGTATGTACATCTGTATGTCATCACAGTATGTACAACTGTATGTCATCACTGTAGGTACATCTGTATGTCACATGTACTATATAAGTGACCATGTTTATCTCCATTGGGTTCACCTTCTGGAAATAACATATTTCAAGCACTTATTCTAAAATAACAAAAATAACTTAATCTGGGTTTTTCAGCCTTAGATTGACTGTAAACTATATAAATATTCAGATTCAATCACAGCTATGAAAGTTATGCTAACAGTTTCCTTGTCCTTATGTCCTGACGCCTTCCTCTACTGAATCTCTTGCTGTCCCAAATCCCGACTACCAGAGACAACCACCAGTGTACTGCATATTATCCACCACCCTGTCTCAAACTGACAACTGTCTTCTTTCTGAGAAGTTTCAGACATCTGCCTGTTGTCTGGTAAGTCGGAGATACACATCTGTTGTCTAGAGTTTCAGACTTACGTCTGCTGTCCAGCAAGTATCAGGCTATATCTTGTGCTTCAAGCTTCTGGATAGACGTCTGCTGTCTGGCAAGTTTCAAATGTACATCTGCTGTCTGGAATTTCAGTTACACGCCTGCTGTCCATCTAGTTTCAAACATACATCTTTTGTCTGGAGCTTCAGGGTAGATGTCTGCTGTTTGGGAAATTGCAGAAGCATGTCTGCTCTCTCGCAAGTTTCAGATGCACGTCTGCTGTCTGGAGCTTCAGGTCATACGGATGAACGTCTGCCATCTGGCAAGATTTTGCCGTCTGCCGGGGGTGTCTCAGGGCAGGAGTCTGTTATACTCAGACAGCAGCTGGGACTTTCTGACAGTGTCCCACATCCTCGCTGCATAGTGAAACCTGGACACAAGAGGAGGTCACAAATCATAAACAATAATACATGCATTCAAGTTTTTTCTATACTGAAACTGTTCTGATGAGCGTGAGCCAAATATTGCCTACACTACAGACCGTGGTCAGGCAATCAGTAGTTCAAGAGTTCACCAAACAACATAACCTCAATCTGTTTTTCTTCTTTGGATAAACATAAAAACTGACGTTGGTGTGAACTTTCATGGGGGTATGTCATGTGTGAGAGTTTCGTGGTTGCTCATGGAGCTGCAATACTGTGGCTATATCAGGGTAGCCTTTCAGTCAGGACCGTGAACGAGATCAGGGTACAATGTTTAGGAAGATCAAACTCACTGAACATGCAATCTTTATGGCTCTCATAAAAGTTTAGGGGAGATGGGGACCATATGGAATGTGCCCAAAGTGAAGAACGCCTAATGGATTGTGCCCATGATGAAGAATGCCTTTTGGAATGTGCCCATGGTGAAGAATGACTAATGGAATGTGCCCATGATGAAGAATGCCTAATGGAATGTGCCCATGGTGAAGAATGTGTAATGGAATATGCCCATGGTGAAGAATACCTAATGGAATGTGCCCATGATGAAGAATGTCTAATGAAATTTGCCCATGATGCAGAATGTCTAATGGAATGTGCCCATGATGAAAAATGTGTAATGAGTGAGTGAGTGAGTTTAGTGTTACGCCGCACTCCGCAATATCCCAGCTATATGGCGGCGGTCTGTAAATAATCGAGTCTGGACCAGACAATCCAGTGATCAACAGCATGAGCATCGATCTGCGCAATTGGGAACCGATGACGTGTCAACCAAGTCAGCGAAACTGACCACCCGATCCCGTTAGTCGCCTCTTACGACAAGCATAGTCGCCAAAATGTGTAATGGAATGTGCCCATGATGAAGAATTCCTTATGCCCATAGTGAAGAATGCCCTGCCCATGATGAAGAATTCCTTATGCCCATGATGAAGAATGCCTAATGGGATGTGCTCATGGTGAAGAAAATGCCTTATGGAATGTGCCCATGATGTAGAATGTCTAATGAAATGTGCCCATGGTGAACAATGTCTAATGGGATGTGCCCATGGTGAACAATGTCTAATGGGATGTGCCCATGATGAACAATGTCTTATGTCCATAGTGAAGAATGCCTAATGGAATGTGCCCATGGTGAAGAATGCCTTATGCCCATGATGAAGAATGTCTAATGGGATGTGCCCATGGTGAAGAATGCCTTATGCCCATGATGAAGAATGCCTAATGGGATGTGCCCATGGTGAAGAATGCCTTATGCCCATGATGAAGAATGTCTAATGGGATGTGCCCATGGTGAAGAATGCCTTATGCCCATGATGAAGAATGTCTAATGGGATGTGCCCATGGTGAAGAATGCCTTATGCCCATGATGAAGAATGTCTAATGGGATGTGCCCATGGTGAAGAATGTCTTATGTCCATAGTGAAGAATGCCTAATGGAATGTGCCCATGGTGAAGAATGCCTTATGCCCATGATGAAGAATGTCTAATGGGATGTGCCCATGGTGAAGAATGCCTTATGCCCATGATGAAGAATGTCTAATGGGATGTGCCCATGGTGAAGAATGCCTTATGCCCATGATGAAGAATGCCTAATGGGATGTGCCCATGGTGAAGAATGCCTTATGCCCATGATGAAGAATGTCTAATGGGATGTGCCCATGGTGAAGAATGCCTTATGCTCATGATGAAGAATGTCTAATGGGATCTGCCCATGGTGAAGAATGCCTTATGGAATGTGCCCATGATGTAGAATGCCCTTCTGACAATGTCCACAGAAAACAATGCCCTACTGACTATGTCCATAGAGAACAATGCCCTACTGACTATGTCCATAGAGAACAATGCCCTACTGACTATGTCCATAGAGAACAATGCCCTTCTGACTTTGTCCATAGAGAACAATGCCCTCCTATGTCCATAGAGAACAATGCCCTACTGACTATGTCCATAGAGAACAATGCCCTACTGACTATGTCCATAGAGAACAATGCCCTACTGACTATGTCCATAGAGAACAATGCCCTTCTGACTTTGTCCATAGAGAACAATGCCCTCCTATGTCCATAGAGAACAATGCCCTACTGACTATGTCCATAGAGAACAATGCCCTCCTATGTCCATAGAGAACAATGCCCTTCTGACTATGTCCATAGAGAACAATGCCCTACCGACTATGTCCATAGAGAACAATGCCCTTCTGACTATGTCCATAGAGAACAATGCCCTACCGACTATGTCCATAGAGAACAATGCCCTTCTGACTATGTCCATAGAGAACAATGCCCTTCTGACTATGTCCATAGAGAACAATGCCCTTCTGACTATGTCCATAGAGAACAATGCCCTTCTGACTATGTCCATAGAGAACAATGCCCTACTGACTATGTCCATAGAGAACAATGCCCTTCTGACTATGTCCATAGAGAACAATGCCCTTCTGACTATGTCCATAGAGAACAATGCCCTTCTGACTATGTCCATAGAGAACAATGCCCTACCGACTATGTCCATAGAGAACAATGCCCTTCTCACTGTCCATAAAGAACAATGTTCAACAGATCGTTCTTATAGATAACAATGTCCTCTAAATTGTTCCAATGAATAACAATTCCCTGCAGATTTTGCCATTAGAGAACAATGCCCACAGATTGTGGCTACAGACAACAATACCCTGCTCACCAGTTTTTCTCAGACAATGTAGTGTGTGTGAGGAGGTGGCGTGGCAGGGAGTAGATCTGGTTCCGCAGCGATCGAACCAGGGATATGAATGTAGGGAAGCCTCGGTATTCTGGCAGCAGGGTGAGAATAGGTTCTGAAAATATACCGTAAATTGTAAAAGTTATGATATTCCAACTTGTGGTGCAAGTTTCATCAAGTTTCAAAACTCACCTGGCTCCAGCTTGACAAAATACCTTGAATTAGCTTGAAATAGCTTGACGAATAAGAGTTACGACAATCACCTGGTTCAATGTTTCATTACTAGGTAAGATTTATGACACCCACCTGGCTCTAGCTTGTAGTACTCCATCTGGGGGATACAGAAGACATTCATATCGGACTTGACTGTCTTGGAGGTAAGTCCGGGGATGACGCTGCCTCGCACCATATTGACAGTGCCTGCAGAGATAACACACATCACACAAACAGGAACACAAATGTTGCGGATCATCAAATAAAAAATAACGCGAGGCCGCTTTTAGCAATATTCCAGTGATATCACTGCAGGGGACACCAGAAATGATATTTCACACATTGTACCCATGTGAGGAATTGAACAGGAGTCTTCAGTGTGACGCGAGCAGGCTTTTACCATTAAGCTATCACAGCACCACCCCAAAAACAGTTTAAGTGTCATAAACATTTTTTTTATTATTTTAAAGTATTATTATTTCCCAAAGTACATTTGTTGTTGTCATGGTACATTGTACAAGACATCATACACAACATCCTCGTCATCAATTTGTTGTTGTCATAAGACATTGTACAAAACATCATACACAACATCCTCGTCATCAATTTGTTGTTGTCATAAGACATTGTACAAAACATCATACACAACATCCTCGTCATCAATTTGTTGTTGTCATAAGACATTGTACAAAGCATCATACACAACATCCTCGTCATCAATTTGTTGTTGTCATAAGACATTGTACAAGACATCATACACAACATCCCTCGTCATCAATTTGTTGTTGTTTAGTGTCATAAACATATGATATGAAGTATAGATATTCTATGATGATAGGCCATAGCAGGGTTTGAAAAGTAAACTGGCTGATATATATAATCCATAACAAACCAAGAATGAAGTAGTCAATACAGTGATGGTATGGGACATATCTGCTACCTGTACACTTGAGCTTGGTCATGTCAAACGTGTTGCTCAGTGTTTGTGTCATCATCTTGTAAGTCTCCAGGCCATAGTCGTCACGGTTAGCTCGGTTCTGTACAAACACTGTAACAGTAACACACAACAGGTTGCAAGATGAAGTGAGTGAGGGAGGAGCTTAGTTTTACGCTGTATGGTATTCCAGCTATATGGCGGCGGTCTGTAAATAATCGAGTCTGGACCAGACAATCCAGTGATCAACGCCCCTTTTAGCAATATTCCAGCCAATCACGGCAGGAGACACCAGAAATGGGCTTCACAGCTTAGCTATATGGCGTAGGTCTGTAAATTAATCGAGCCTGGACCAGACAATCCAGTGATCAATAGCATGAGCATCGATCTATGCAATTGGGATACGATGACATGTGTCAACCAAGTCAGCAAGTCTGACCACCCGATCCCATTAGTCGCCTCTTACGACAAGCATATGCTACTGAAGATCATATCTAACCCGGATCTTCACGGGTATGAAGTACATGTGAGCGTCATATTCTGTTCTATCCCCCAAGGCTATTCACGGGTCTGAGAAATGAGAGATGGTGGTGGTAATTCATTCATTATACAAAGATTATATCGTTAACTTCCTGTAATTTTCCACCTAGGTGGCATATATAAGACCAATTGCCATCAGCACTCAGCTTTCATAGATACTCTTCCAACTTATACTGTAGACTCACCAACATGGGGGAAGTAGTCAGGAGCATCTTCAGGATGTGAGGAGCCCTCGTGTCCAGACGGAGTGGCTGGTTTCAGCATCTCAGCGTTCTTCAGGAACCTTCAATGGAGCAGAGATATAGCTCAAACCCAACTAGATTCATCAATATCAGTACAAAAGAAGTATGCATACTTATTCATGCAAACAAATACACACCTGACAGTAGAACATGAATATTGTTCTAGCCGAGGTCAGCACAATTCAAGCTGTACGACAGAGGTCAAACACTGACAAACCAATATACTGACACACAGACAGACACTGAGACTAACACACCAACAAAGTGACACAAAAATGGACACTAACACACAGTGTGCGAAATAGTTTCCAAATTTTGCAAGCCATTAGGGCTAGCTATACCTGAAAGTTACTAGACTTTCACAAGCCCGAAATTTGAATGTAGACACAGGTTTCATCATTAAGCTGCTGATATGATGAACATTTTTATTAGGCCATAAACATGCATGATTTAAAAGTGTGTTATAACTCAACAAGTAAATATATATATGAGTAGGGTTTATATTTACAAACTCGCCCCACGAAAAGTCTCTAGCCAGTCGGGCCAGTGACTGTGGAGATTTATTTCCCCGACTGGATTTTTACTAGCCACGGGCTAGCAGGCCAGTGGCTATATCGAACACTGCTAACACACAAACACAATGGCACACAAACAGACTGGCACAGAAACTGACACTGGGACTAACACATCAACAAACTGACACAAAACTGACAATGACACACCGATACACTGGCACACCAACACAAACACATTGACACCCAAACATATCAACTTATCGACACACAGAGGAACACTCCACCCTGACTGACCTAAGAAAGCTGGCGTCAGTGAACCAGTCCTGGACCACCAGGATCACATTACACACGGTCATCAGGAAGGTTGCCATCTGCAGGGACTGGAACACACACATGAGTGACTAGACAGTGCTGTGTGAGTGAGTTTAGTTTTACGCCGCACTCTGCAATATTCCAGCTACAATCGAGCACCGTTGTGTCGAACTCTGATAACTCGATATCTCGGTTGTCTCGATATAACATCTCAGTCCCTTATCCTTCATCCTTCATAATTTATCATTATTCCAGCTCTTTTAACTTCGATACAGATGTCTCGATATTTTGGATATCTCGATATAATTTCATGGTCCCAACAAACAAAATTACCCCTTTAACTCAACATTTGCAAAGAAACTCAATATTCACCTACCTTTCATGGGCAAGTATCCCTCTGAATTGAGTGAGTGAGTGAGTTTAGTTTTACGCCACACTTAGCAATATTCCAGCTATATGGCGTGCAGTCTGTAAATAATCAAGTCTGGACCAGACAATCCAGTGCTCAACAGCATGAGCATCGATCTGCAATTGGGAACCAATGACATCCCTCTGAACTGAGATTGTTTCCACGCGTTTACACGCGTTGCAGCATGAATCAAAGGGATGTGGTAGTGTAACATAATTAGAGCTAATTGAGTTGAAGGTGTCACTTGTTTGTTATTTAATTAGGTTTAATTAAGAAAGATTTAATTAGGGAAGTACCCACTGTTACTGACTAAACACTACTGATAACGGTTTTAAGTTTCGAATCAAAACATACTGAGAAGTGTTTTGTTTTCTTTCATAGTGATATGTTAAGATATGTATGACTTGGTTGGATGTCTCAAAGTTCGGATAACTCGATAATTTTTCTTGGTCCCATGAATATCGAGACAACGGTGCTCGACTGTATATGGCGCTAGTCTGTAAGTAATTGAGTCTGGACCAGACAATCCTGTGATCAACAGCATGAGCAGTGATCTATGCAATAGGAATACGATGACATGTGTCAACCAAGTCCATGAGCCTGACCACATGATCCCGTTAGTCGCCTCTTACGACAAGCATGGGTTACTGAAGATCAATTCTAACCCAGATCTTCCTGGATGTTCTCCACAGAGGTGTACTCTGTCACATATACCTACCTGCATCTCTATACAGTTCTCCACGGAGGTGTACTCTGTAGGGTACTTCTTGTCCTGGTGTATCATCTGGTCAAGGATGGAAGCACTGAGAACTGGCTGTTGATGACACAGAAAATAATTCATATCAGCCATCAGACAAAATGTGAGAGAATATTGTAAAATCTAAGTATGAGTGTTGTTTTATGGCAAGGCAGAACTATCCCAGTAATCTGAGTAACATTCCAGCAACATCATGACAGGGTCATTCACAATTAGCTTCATGAGTGAGTGAGTGAGTCTGAGCATGTGAGCTACTGAATGAGCCCCACAGTGAGTGTAAAAGTGTGATTGAATGAGAGTGACACACATTGTGAATGAGGTGAGGTGAGGTGAAATTGGGTTTAACGTCGTGCTTGAGAATATTTAGCTCATATGGCGTGTGCATGTGCTTGTACTAGCCCAGACTGAAGCGACTGCTTGTACTAGCCCACTGATCCATGCCGCAGTGAAGCATGAATACCCCACTCAGACGCATTATACTGACTAAGCCGACCAGCCCTTGTTGTTTGGACAGGGACCAACAAGTACCATATTTTAACATCTTTTGGTATGACATGGTCGGGGATCGAACCCGCGACCTTCCGCTCTCCGGGCAGACGCTCTAACAACTACACCACGGAGGCGGCCTACAGTGAATGAGAGTGAATAAGAAAGTGTGACTGAATGAGAATGAGTCAGTAAGGTTTTACGCCACTTTTAGCAATATTCAGCCAATATCACGGCAGGGGACACCAGAAATGGGTTTCACACAGCAGGGGTGGAAATAACCCATTGCCCGACGTCCGAGTCCAGTGTTTTTTTCTGTCAGGCAAGCAAATTTGTATATCACGCTGTACGGTGTCCAGTTGACTTTCCAATGTTAATAATGTTGTTTATTTAAAAAGCAACAAGAAAACGGACGGTATAGTGGAAAAAAATTATCAGGGCAAGTGATTTTACATGTGCCACTGTACCCGAGTACAGTATCAACCCCTGACACATTGTACCCATATGGGGACTCGAACCTGTCCGGGTCTTCGGATTGACGAGTTAACACTTGAACCACTAGGCTACCCCACCCCTCCTTATCCCATTGAGACAAAGGATATATGATGACTTACATGGAATCAGTTGTACAACCCATAGCTGCTGTTCTGAATACTCCGGTTCCATGTTAACATTATCAAACTTACACCATCAGAAAACACATGTCATTTTCCTGTTCTGGTAAGCAAGGCTCTGATTGGTTAGAATGGATCATGGCAATGGGATGTCCTCAGATGGTTTTTGCACTAGCAAGACAAAAATAACATGAAAATGCACTCAAAGAGATAATATCAACCACTATAAAGTAGTACCTGTGTATCCAGGAAGATGATCCGCTCTGGTGTCACATACATGTCGATGCCATTTGTCTGATGCGCTCCGTTCTCCTTCACTTCTTTTGTCTGAGGCTGGAACACATAGCTCCTGCAAGTACAGAAACATGAGAGAATGTTGACTGACTGACTGACTGACTGAGTATGGTTTTATGCCGTTTTTAGCAATATTCCATCAAAATCACGATGGGGGGACACCAGAAATGGGCTTTACAAATTGTACCCATGTGTCGAATCGAACCCGGGCCTTCGGCGTGACGAACGAACGCTTTAACCACTAGGCTACCCCACCACCCCCATGAGACAATACACTCAGACACCTGTACAAGGATACTTCTACTATGCTTATAATGATGACAATCGGAGACCTGTACAAGGTGAGGTGGGTTGAAACGTCATACTTGAGAATATTTCGCTCATATGACGACATGCGTGTGTGTGTGTATGTGCGGCTGCTTGTACTAGCCCAGACTTAAGCTGGTTTTATAGTGCTAGCCCACTGAGATACCATGCCGCAGTGAAGCATTAATAACCCACTCAGACACATTATACTCACTCCAAGCTGACCAGTCCTTGTTGTACCCATTAATGCCGAGCACCAGACACTGACAGGGACCAACAAGGACGGTATATTAACACTTTTTTGTATGATGTGGCCGGGGATCGAACCCCAGACCTTCCACTCTCTGGGCAGATGCTCCCACTACATCACGGAGGCAGCCTACCTGTACAAAGACACTTCTACTGTGATTATCATGATGACAATCAGACACCTGTAGAAGGGCACTTCTACTATGAGTATAATGATGACAATCGTATACCTGTACAATGACACTTCTACTATGTTTATAATGATGACAATCGGATACCTGTACAAGGACACCTCTTTTATACCTAGAATGACACACCGCCTCCGCGGTGTAGTGGTTAGAGCGTCCGCCCGGAGAGCGGAAGGTCGCGGGTTCGATCCCCAACCACGTCAAACCAAAAGACGTTAAAACATGGTACTTGTTGGTCCCTGCCTAATGCTCAGCATTAATGGGTATATCAAGGACTGGTCGGCTCGGAGTCAGTATAATGTGTCTGAGTGGGGTATTCATGCTTCACTGCGGCATGGTATCTCAGTGGGCTAGCACTATAAAACCAGCTTCAGTCTGGGCTAGTACAAGCAGCCACACATACACACGCATGCACGTCGTCATATGAGCGAAATATTCTCCAGCGTGATGTTAAACCCAATTTCACCTCACCTCACCCAATTTCACCTAGAATGACAACACTGGTTTACCTGTATGAGTCTTGAGGGGAGGTGCCCGCCAAGAGAGAGAGGATGGTCGACTTGCCGCTGCCCTGCGGGCCAAGGACTCCCACTACAAGGAAGTCTGTCTGATCCAGCAGCATCTGCCATAAAACAGACAAGATACAGGAGCACACACATCGCCAAACACCAACAAGGACTGTTACAGAGGCATCTGCAGTCCCAACATCAAAAGCAAATCCCAGATGTGTGTTTTTTTAATACACAATGCCATTTAGAAAGTGGTCAAATGTATCATATTTTATTATGATTACACTTTCTCAGTAAAATACAGATTCTAGTACTTTGGGGGTTGAGTCCATCTGAGATTTGAACCCAAATCTCAAAGTCAAAAGTGTGTGATCTAGACCACCAGTTGTCCGACTTCCAGCTTTGTGGCAGCCAGGATGGCTGAGTGGGTCAGATGGCTGAGTGGGTCAGATGGCTGACTTTGTGTGCTGGTAATCATATGCCTGACTCTGAGTGTGTAAGTTCAAATCCTGGATACAACTTTAACCCAAAATGTTCTAGAATTTGTACTTTACTGAAAAAGTGTAATCCCAAATATATCATAAGTTACATGTATGATTTATATTATTATGTTTAAATCCAAGAACTGCTGACTATGACCCTCTATTTGCCAGCACAAAACCAGTGCTCAAAGGTCTATGTCGGCTCTATGTACCTCAATTCCTGCATCGCACCAGCGGAACGAATCGTCCACAACCTTCACACAGTGCTTCATCTCAGGGGGCGGGGCCAGGCGGTTCTGGGAGCTGTCTGTAACGAAATCAGTAGTGAACATTAACACTTGTCTCCTGAACTATGGCGGACAGCTGGTGTCTAGTGCAATGTCACAGAAATCTAGAACAAGTGTATAAAACAGTTTTGAAATGTGGCCTGTCTGTCAGGACTGGCTGTCCAAAAAAGTGACCAGTTATGAACAAACACAGCCAGTGCCCAATACTAAAACAATAAAAAAATCGACAAAAGTTGTTTGATCACAATATTTTTCTGATTGTGTTACTGTTGTTGCTGGGGGTTTTCCCTGGCGGCAAGCCAAGAAATGTTCGTAACATTTTAGTTTACCACCATTAGAAAAGTATTGCTGGAGCTTAGTATCACTAAGCATGATTGGTTTAGCGGAATCTGTTCAGCCAATAGAAAGCTAGCTTGTAAACTTGGTTCGGTAAACAGCCAAAGGGAAGTAACTCTGTCGCATCAATGAAAATGGTTTGTAACAAGAAAGAACATGATTGCTAAGACAGAGTTCAAATCAAGTTAAGTTAAGTTTTTCCAATATTTCCGCCGACCAAAGGACGGCCTTACTTATTTCATAGACCATCCTTCACAAAAATAGACCGTCCAGGACGGTGGGACCGGCTATATTTTATACCTTGCTATAATGTGCTCCTCAGTGAGGTGAAATGGGTTTAACACTGTCTCAAAGGTGTGCATGTGCTTATGCAGGCTTGTGTTTCTTCTAGTCTGATTTGTTTAATGCCGCACTCAGCAATATTCCAGCTATACGGTGGAAGTCTGTAAATAATCGAGGCTGGGCCAGACAACAAAGTGGTCAACAGCATGAGCATTAACCACCCAATCCTCTTACGACAAACATGGGTTGCTGAAGACCAATTGTAACCTGGATGTTCATGGGTCTGGACTGAAGCACATTATGTTGCAGTGTACCATGGATACCCACGCACAGTCCTTGTTTTATCCTAAATGTCCTATCCTATAATGTACTCACAGTGCACCTGAATCATGTATACACAAGGAAAACTTGTTGTCAAGGGCTAATTTGGTGTTTACTACACTTGCAAATCAGTTATGCATTACAGTCCGTTTGGCTGCAAAGCGGTATCGGACCGGAGTGAATTGCAATTTTAGCTTCCGAAAACTAATAAACATAAAATACCTACTCAATGCGAGCGGCTGATCATAATCAAAACATCATACCCACTCTGTGAGGTTTTGCAGAATATTTTGTCCTGTAAAAGTTGCTGAGCAACCACCGAAGTTTAATAAAAGTTGTTTAACAAACTATCTTGTTATTAAAGTATTGACAGGGACAGCCAGTTCACTCAGCCGGCCGCGGAGGCAGTCCACAGAAGTTGTTTATTCATTAACCTGAGGTGTCGATCTCCATCCGCTGTCTCAAGAGAAACACCTGGCTGTCCCTTTCTGCACTCCTAAACGCCCTCGTAACTTGACCGCCAGAAAAGTGAACTGTGTTCAATATTTTAATGATAGGTGTTAAGAAACAGGACAAAAATTCTGCAAAACTTCACTGGCATAGCCTAAAACAGTTTTCTTGAGATGATGCCATTGTTGTCCAGGAGACTATGATCAGCTGCTACCTCATTGAGTGCAGGGGCAAAGGAACTCACTGAAGGTCGCCCCGCCTGGATGTAAGGCAACAGGAAGCCTAACGGCCGGGCGCATCAACCCAATTTTTATGTTGACAAACGGCCTCTCTCCAGGACTGGGTCCATTTATTAGTAGATGATCTGCCACTTAAAGGTCAACTCATTAACCTGTGCTGTATGTCGTCTCCATCCGTTCTCGAACACCTGGCTGTGCAGCCCTTTCTCTGCACTCCTCCCTCGTAACAAATAGTGCAAAATAAAACTGTGTCAATATTTTAATGATAGATTGTTAAACAAGCCTTTTATTTTTAGGACAAAAAATTCTGCAAAAACCTCCTACAGAGCGGAGTATGATGTTTTGATTATAGATCAGCCGCGTTCATTGAGTATTTTCCGTTTTATTACTGTTTTAAGCCGGAGCTTGAGGTAATATGCATAAGAGTTAGATTGCGTTTTTACTAATTCATGGTAATGGAGGAATGTACAGTATTCAAAACCATAATGTACAGACAGAGCTAGTGAATGATGCTTAAATAAGAAAAACTCACTTTCAAAGGCTAAATGTCCAACAGAGGAATGGCGCTGAATCTGATACGCTGCTGGCCCCATAGTTGCCTCCCCTTGATTGGTGGTGGTTGCCTGGTTGGTGGCTGTGGTGGTAGGTGCAGGCCTGTTTTCATCTCGAGATCGAAGCACAACAATGGGTTTCTCCTGTGCCTTGTTGACTAAACCTCCTTGGGAGAGATTGGCTGTCTGCATGGCTGCTGTGGTTCCTGCGCCCCCTCCTGAAGCCTGCTATACAGAAGTACATGTAGTTCAATATTTAAAAATTATAGTTTGTCAACCTTACTTCTAACATCCAGGTTTTTTGTGATTTGATTTATCTACATCTGTTTGTGTATGATGACAATTAGATATCTATGTTTTTTTGTATCCTCAGTGTTCACGAATGGTGTTTCAAAGTAACAGGACATTGGGTCCTGTAAGTTTCAGATGTCTGTCTGACCCATTGAAAATTCACAGGACCCATAGAATACAATTAAACACACATTTCAGATTAAACATTTCTTATAATTAGCATCAAAATTATTAACATACATTAGATTTATAAACAGCAAACAAGTGTCACAATGTCACATATAAAAACTTCAGTCAAAGTCATTGTGAAATATACAGTCAGACACTGGGGCTGGCGGGTGGTAGGCTTCTATCGGACCGTTGGCGAATCTGCCGGATTTGTCAGAGGGTCAGACGCTATTCGTGAACACTGTATCCTATGATCTAGCTAGAAAATAATCATTTGCCGTTACCCCCCCAAGATGGGAACACATTGTCTGTCATGAAATCATAGGATAACAATGGAGAAAAGATTTCAATTTGGGATGACAAACAATAAAACTGTTTTTTCCAGTTTGGTGAAAAGTAAGGTTGAGAGATTACGCAATATACTCATTTGTCATGCTGAACTTTTAGATGTGCCATGAGAGGCTCCTCGAAAAATTATAAAGTTAGACTTTATGGATGAAATATTTTCTTATTAACCAGTGTCAGGTTTTATGTTCATTTTAGTAATATTTCAATTATATCACGGCAGGGCAGGGGTGGAAATAACTTTAAAATTGCTAGTGTACTCCGGTACAGTGGCACATGTAAAATCACTTGCCCTGATCATTTTTCCACTATACCGGCCGTTTTCTTGTTGATTTTTTAAATAAACAACATAATTAACATTGGAATATCAACTGGACATAGGTACAGTGTGATATACAAATTTGCTTGCGCGACGGAAAAAAACACTGGACTCGGGCGTCGGGCAATGGGTTATTTCCACCCCTGCAGGGCCACAAGAAATAGGCTTCACACACTTCATACAAGAAGCGAAATGAACCCAGGACTTTGGTGAGATGAGCATATGCTTTAACCACTTGCCTACCACAATGACATTCCAATACATCAACATCTGGTATGTGTGTCGCAGATGTCATTCAGTTTGGGCTGCTGTTATTAAGCTAGAATATTACCAGTAGAGATCCAGAAAGGGATTTACTGGACGCGAATTCCTGCGTCCTATACGCATAAAAATTGACAATGGACACAACCAAATTTATTAGCGCATCCACTGGGAATCAGAAAAAGTCCAAATACTTTTTGTAAAAATTCCAATCAAGTGACAATAAGTTATGACCGTGTTTTCTGCTAGCTGGGTTATGGTATTATTTGCAATTTAATTACTGTAACAGTGTGATGATCATGATACACAATACAATAACAGTATTAATAATAATATTTAAGCGTCTGGGACCCCCAGTTTGTTGACCAGGATCCCTGAAAATTAAGAGTATGAGTCCCAGGGACCCTCAAATACAGGACTCAATGTAAATCACTGGTCCATACAATACTTTTGAAATCCTGATTTAAATAAGAAAGGCAAATTCAAAGGCACTTGACAGTTAAAGTTAATATTAAAGTTAAACTTTAATTCTCAAAGTACTCAGATAGATATTTGTCAGTGTACCTGTTCAACTGCTGGTTTCGCAAGGCCAAGGATGATGGGAAGTTTGTTGGGAGCAGGAGACTGGTCGGGTTCACGCTCTCGCTCCTGAAAATCAACATACTGACATACAACATAGTGCTATAAAACAGCCTATCAATTATAATTACTTCTTGTTAACATCACAGTATTTTATAAAAGGATAACAAAAATCATTAAATATGACATAAACAACTTGTTGAAGTCAAGGCTTGATGTGCAAGAAATATCTGTTAGTGTACTCCATCCTGTGTATTCTTGTTTTATAATCAATATGTATAGGAGACATCAAAAGCTATCATTAAAAACTCTTTGGCATAGTGACTGAGTGAGTGTGTTTAGTTTTACGGCGCTTTCAGCAATATTCCAGCAATATCATGGCAGGGGACACCAGAAATGGGCTTCACACTTTGTACCCATATGGGGAATCGAACCCGGGTATTCGGCTTGACAAGTGAACGCTTTAACCACTAGGCTACCCCACCTCCCCTCTTTGGCTTAGAATCACTGGGAGTATGGGGAGTTAAAACTACGGTTTAAAAGAAAAACATATACAATTTTACTTTCATGAGGGGCCCTTGTTCCATGCACTCTCAGCATTGCTGTGGAAACACTTTGGAAGAAATCAAGATATGGACATTTTAACGGATATCCCAAATTGAAGGAAATGGTTTGTTTTAACTTTATTTTCAAAGTTCAACTTTTCAAAATGTCATAACATATAGAAACATGTTTTATGAGCCAATGGTACATATCATTGCACATATCATTCCTCTCTGTTATAAATGTTAACCCTACTTTATGTGCCCACAGATACTGATTGCAGATATATTTACTGCTATGATGAAGAATGAGGCTATCATTCATTGAGGAATTGTAATGCATATTTAAAATTAGTCAAATAAATATTGTGCCTGGACCAGACAAATCAGTGACCAGGTGGCCGCATTTCAATGACCCAAACTGTTGGGGTCAACATGCAATCAACTAAATCATCATCGCCTGATTCATTCTGACTTAATTACTGACACTGTACAGAACTCATAATGCTTAACAGAACTACTTGTAAGTTCCATTATCAATGTAGCTTGTGAATGGATCTGTATGGTTTGCAGATATAACTTGGACTGTCTGGTCAAAGAAGACCAAATGAACAGTTTCTGTATTACTTAAGATACTCTCTTAGGAAATATATGCATTTGTATTTTTATTACATACATTTTAGCAGCATCAATCATACCTGAGTGTATTAGCTGGTGGCATATATTAAACAAAATTTGAAATATGGACAATTTGAGGAGCTGACAGCAGGTGATATACACTGTGTTTTTTATTGCAAGACTGGTATTTCATGCACCCTAGTAATTTATGTTTTATCGTTGATTTCATATTTTAGCATCTGAATATGAGCTTTTCTTTAATATTGGTCTGGAATTGCTACAAACAAATACGACTCAGGTTCTGAAAGCAATTCTCTGACACCTTCATCAGCATACGAAAACGGCAGTAGTTCATGTAATTCGGTAACATTTTTTATAGCTAACTTGATAATACCAAGAAAAAGTTGTTGAAAACACCCCAGACAGCAGCTGCGTGTCACTGCTGATCGAAAATAGGACATGCGGCACAAACGTCATACTTTTCTTCCGGGTCTGTCTCGTCTTCTGCGGCGTCTTCCTCCTCTGTCTCGATCTAAAGGGTCCGACATCGAAGTCAGTTGACAAGATTAATAATAACCCTCAGGAGCTTGGATATTAACGTGCTCCAATTTTCACTTTCGTCTGCAACACCAAAAGTAGTTACAACAAAAAGAGCGACCAAACACTAAAACGAAACAAGTAATGCTTACACGTTTTCATACACAAAAGTACCATTCAAATTTTATGCGTTAATTGTATACGTTTGAAACAGAAAGACCGGGTGGGTGGGTTGTGGAGGAGATGGAGGCGAGTGATCCTGCTTCAAATCTATTCCTGCCTTTATGTCTCATCCACGCTCTCACCCGTGAACCCGAAAAGAATCGGTTAGAATTTATCCCAGATGCGTAGATCGATGCTCATGCTGTTGATCAATGGATTGTCTGGTCCAGATTCGACCACAGCCACATAGCTGGAATATTGCTGAGTGCGGCGTTAAACAACAAACAAACAAGCACACGCGTTATTACACCACCGCCTGTACGACAGCGTCAACGGGGATGCTGAGCATGTGGTTAAAATTTCATTTGTTTCAGGGGGATACGTTCGCCATTCATATTAGCTCGTGATCGCATTCTTTATTTGAACGAAAAGATTGAAACGTTAAAAAGCGTAGCACTATATGTTGTGCCCTTAAACCTGTGCACCTAAGACCATTGTAGGTTTAAGGGCACCACACACGTATATGACTAGTCACGGGCAATGGCGTGCAGGCAATATTTAAAGTTAGTATATATTGTTTGTTGTTTAATGCCACACTCAGCAATATTTCTGTTACATGTCAGCGGTGTGTAAATAGTCGAGTCTGGACCACACAATCCAGTGATCGACTTCATGAGCATCGATCTGCGCAATAGTATACGACGACATGTGTCAACCAAGTCAGAGAGCCTGATAACCCGATCCCGTTAGTCGCCTTACGATAAGCATTGGTTCCTGCATATAGACTAAGTATATGTAGCGGCCATAAAATGTCCGAGTCCCGTGTTGGGATTCGAACCACGGACCTTCTGATTCGAAGTCGGATGACCACATGACCAAAGAGGTTAACCCCGTCAGCAAGCTGGCAAAGTAAGGTTGCCATCTGTGGGACTCCAAGCCCTGCTACATGTATACTTGAGTTTCTGGTAACATTCCGCTAATTATACTGATCAGCAAATAAGGTTAAAACATCTGCTGACAGATAATATGTTTCCGAACTGAAAGTAAAGACTGAACGACGCGCTGCAATGATCGATTCAGTTCGCGTCATTTTAATGTTTGGAGGTGGAGTGTTTCTTCATCTTGACGAATCTATTCGTATATGTTCGGAACGACTAAACCGTTAATTTGTATAGCACAAAACAAAATAGACATAGTTAAATGAAAATCTGCGTTTATCCCAATCAGTTGGCCAGAAAGCCATTTGTACACAATGTCGGCATCATATCTGAAGAGGAAACTCTGCCAACAAAAGCTTCTGTAGGATTTTCATTTTACCACGAAACTGTTTATGTCACAGGGTTGGTGTCACTCAGTTTTGTCTCACGTTTCTGGAGCGGTAGGGTAGCCTAGTGATTAAACCATTCGCCCGTCACACCGAAGACCTGGGTTCGATTTCCTACATGGGTACAATGTGTGAAGCCCATTTCTGGTGTCCCCCGCCGTGATATTGCTGGAATATTGCAAAAGGCGGCGTAAAATTCACTCACTCACTCACGTTCAGTCAAGCAAATGTCTACTATCTATATATTTGGAAAGAGATATTCAAACGTAGCCCGCATTAATCTTTCTCGATTATGTACAAGTTTATTTGATGGTGAAATGTTTCTCACTCAAAGGTTATAATGTTTGCGGAAGAAATTCGACTTTGACAAGCCTCCTTCTGTATTAAATTCTTTGTTCAGTTCAAACAAGAAACACAAATCAGCTTATTGCTCGAGTTTGTAAAAAAAGGACGCACATCATGTACCGAATATCCTTCAACACTAACTGTTCATGTAAACACACCAGATACATGTGCATTCCTCAGAAAATGTCATTCAGTAAGGAGTAGAGGGGAACAGCTGAAATTTGATTTGGTAAAATACTCAAATTCTTAGCCAATACTATCAAGGGTGTTAGTTGTTTAAGATTTATCGTCAATATTTCAGTCATATCTCAAGTCATTAAAACGTTTAAAGATTGGAAATTACGAAGTTGCGATATACACTCAGTCACATCATGAAAGTCAAGTGAACTGAATGGTCTGGCAGTCGCTTTTCGTTTCCGTAATTCCTAAATTTAGCACCATGAATATAACCTCAAGTACAAATAGGATTGTATTTCTTTGGGTTTAAATACTATATATTGTTAATATCTTGTATATCAAGTCTAAATACCATGTCTAAAGTAATTTATCTTATCACAAGTGTCGAATAATATTGACAAATTACCATCAATCAGGCCATGAACAATATAACACTTTTTGGTTTGATGAGGTTAAAACAATGGTGTCCAAGTGACAAGTACAGAAATGAACTGAAGTTTGATACTTCATAAGTTTTGTTTTCGAAGAATGGATAGGTTTAGAATTCCAGTGTTTTCGTCGTCTGTGTTGGTGCTGTGCGCGAGCCTGGTCAGTTGTCAGCTGGTTGTGAACGTCAAGAACAAAGGTGGCGACGTGCTGGTCGAGTCGATACAGGCCAACACAACGGAGGACACCGTCACTCTCGAGTATCAGAATACAGACGGAACACTGATCACCCAATTTATTGACTTTAAATCGGTAACTTTGTTTTGACAACAATTATTTACCAGATGAAGCTTTCTATGGGGCTAGGCTATAGCTAATAATTATTAACTGGCTGAGGCTGTCGACTTTCGTTGTCGTTTCGTGTGTCTCTCCGATCCTTGGGGTTGGTTGTGTTAGGGGTAGGGGGGTTACCTCCAGCGCTACCTAAAGAGCCAATTTACGGTCTTTAGGGTTAGGCACCCTTTTGTGGTCAAACACTCCACCAGGACCCTTAGGTTTTAACACCAAATTGTGAGGTTGGTTAGGTATATATAATAAGAGCACACTTTGTACAACGGATTTCAAGTTTTGCAGACAAAATAGTAACTCTCCATGTGCTTAAAGGTAGACAATCACATGCTGATGAATTGTAGTAGTGCCCATGGCTCTGTGGTAGGGTGTTGGGTAATTAGGTTAACTCATTAGACAAGCTTAACATCCAGTTTACCATCTTGACTTTGATTCGGTGCTAATTGAAATCTGAATGTGTGCCCAGTAAAAATGCATGACTCTTGCTATGGGTCGAACATGTATCCTCTAATTAATACGATAACTTATAGATAAAATCTGATAATCAAAAACAAATTCAAGAAATGGAAAATCCCCAAATGAGATATTTGTATGTGTCCTTCATCATGTTCATCATATTATTGATGACAAAACATCTTCAGGAATGCTTTTTCATTCAAGATTTTGTTCATACATTCCATGATATATGATATACAGGAGGGGCAGAGTTTTATCTTGTCTACCTGAGTTTGTCTCCACTGCGGTAAGAGGCTGTGGGGTAACCTTGTTGTTCAAGTGTTAGGTTGATCATGTTGATGTCCCGAGTTCAATTCCCCACTTGGGAACAATGTAAGATGTCTATTTTTGTTGTTCCTTGTTGTGATATTGCTGGATCATCTGATTATTGCTAAATGCGATATAAAACCATACCCACTTACTCCATGATATTGACAGCTCGGAAAGAAACCTGTTGTCATGGTTATAGACAATTCTTATATATTTTTTCAATTACAGCATAATCCATGTTTGTTATTACTTATATTATTAGGAAGTTCAAATCTTCCGGGCATATGTAGCTGGAGAAGAAGAACGGGGTCAGAATCAGCTTCAAGTCCTGTGTTTCATCAGCAGATTCAGCAAGAATGACTTCATCTCATCAGATGCCATGTCAAAACTCAGACAGGTACGGTAGTGAAGCTCTCGTGAACCATGTGAATACTGTTCTACTTGGTCTGTGCCACAGTAGGGTACTGTGGTAACTGAGTAGCCTTCACATGTCCTGCACAAGGCATGGAATTCATATAATATCCACAAGGTTGCAATGTTATATTGCCTAGTAACTTTTTGTGCAAAACCTTTACAATTGTCTGAACTACATTGTTCACTAGTAGAATCGCTACCTCTCAGTCTGACACAGTCTGAATACATCCGGGTTAGAATTGGTCTTCAGCAACCCATGCATGTCATAAGAGGCACCTAGTGGTGGTCAGGCTCGCTGACTTGGTTGACACATGTCATCATATACCATTTGTGTAGATTGATGTTCATGCTGTTGATCACTGGATTGTCAGACTCGATTATTTACAGACCACCACCATATAGCTGGAATATTGCTGAGCATGGCATTAAATAACAAACAACCAGTCTGAATAAGATATTTGGCACAGCAAAAATTTGATGGAAATATAGTTTCCACAATTGATGTTAATAATAATATAGTTATAACCTTGTATCTAAACTACTAATGTTATCACTTGTAGATGTGACTATTCAAGCAGATTATATGAAAAACCTTTATCATAATGAAAAGGCGACTCTGCTTGTCGTACGAGGCGACTAACGGGATCGGGTGGTCAGTTTCGCTGACTTGGTTGACACATGTCATCGGTTCCCAATTGCGAAGATCGATGCTCATGCTGTTGATCACTGGATTGTCTGGTCCAGACTCGATTATTTACAGACCGCCGCCGCCATATAGCTGGGATATTGCTGAGTGCAGCGTAAATCTAAACTCACTCACTCACTGGATTTTATAGATACCTTTTGAACACTATCACAATTCTTTCCTAATATGCCCTTTAAGGGCACGAAATTTGGAATTGAATCCTATATTGTAATCCAAATGGTTTAACACTTGTATTAAATGTTACCTCAATGATCACTTCGGTTCTTTTTACAGAAAAATCCAACTGCTATTAGGAGCCCTGAGGAGGAAAAGGGCCCTGACCTGATGGTGTATGACCTGTTGACCGACCTGAACAAAAGTCACATGATTAGTCCACATGTGTTTAACATCTGCCAGGAGGCGAGGGAAACCACATTCTTCAAAGAGGGAGATCTCACCACCATATCTAGATGTAGGTACACCCACCACTGTGTATGGATGGAGGTACACTAGGGTTGTCTGTTAAGGTCGATAATTGGAAAAATCGTCGATAGGAAAAACTGTAAATGATTATTGATACAAAAATTGTGTCATCGATATATTGAATGAACTATTGTGATGAGTATAAAGTGTTGATTTACACAGACAATACACAAAGCTGCTTCTAAGTTATGTTAAGGACAGTGTTTTGTTGGTAATCCAAGCCAAATTATGTCCCCAAGTGTTTAATTGGTAGTCCAAGCCTAATTATGTCCCCACTCGCCAGTGATTTTGATTTCCATATATGGGTATAAGTACACCCATTTTTACTATATCTAAATGTAGGTACTAGTTGTACTGGGTTTCATCTCAATACAAACATATTGTTGTTAGTGTAATACACTATGCTTGTCTATCCATGGGGAATCTAGGTAAGAGTGAATGAGTTTAGTTTTATGCCGCTTTTAGCAATATTCCAGCAATATCACGGCGGGGGACACCAGAAATGGGCTTCACACATTGTGCCCATGTTGGGAATCGAACCAGGGTCCTCGGCGTGACGAGCGAACGCGTTAACCACTAAGCTACCCCACCGCCCCTAGGTAAGAAATGGCCCCAGTAACCATTTCTTTATCTCTCTCTTTTGTTTCAGGAGATGAAGGTAACAGACTTTGGTGGTATGGCAAAATGAATTTTAGGATGAAATCTATTCATACTGTATATAAAATGGGAACAAGATACCAGCATGTTTGCAAAGAAATGTATGTTTTGGCAACAAATACATCATGTTATTTCCATTGTTTCAGCATTGAATAAAGACTATAATACTCTAATGTCGGCCATGAAGAAGACATACCCCTCCAAGTACGCACGATGTCATGATACCAACGACCTGAGCAAGCCGTGTCTGTGTCACTACCAGATGTGTGTGGGGTGGTACCCTTGTGGACTCAAGTACTGCCGAGGCAAGGACTCCACTGGCAAAGTCGTCAGCTACCGTTGAGGCATCAAGACCTGTCGCAGGTGTCTTGTTTTCGAACATGTTGCCAGGCAACGATTGTGGTGTCTGTGGGATGACTCGTGAACGTGAACACCCATCATTTTGATTGTTTTATACATCAGAGGTGTAAAAGTAAGTGCTATTATATGACATTGGGAAAATATTAGTGACAGAAGATGGCAAAAAGTGGAAAAAAACGAAGGTGATAGGATGGTTAATTGTGTAGCTGGAAATTAATCTTTAAATGCAGGATTTCATATCGATGCTTATTCCTAACTTTAATTTTAGGATTACTGCTTAAACGGATGTAATGATGTTGAATTTGTGTTACCAAAGAGTATTTGTGGACTTGAGTCTGTGCTACAGGAGCTGAAGCTACCTAGCAAAAAGTGTAGCACCACTGTGGTCAAATTTTAATCATGTTACTATCCATATATGTTGTTTAAGAAATCTGCCAGAGCTGTTAAAAAACTAAACTGTCTTAGATCAGCTTTCTATTGAACACTGCCAAAACAGCCAAAAGATAGTATGTTTACATACTCATGTAAAGAAAAAAGGGAACTGCTGAAAAAAGAAACCTGTTTGTGAAGTGTGTATCCTGAAGAAATCCCTGAGATCAGCAGTATAATGCATATTTACCAGACACAGACATGCATCTCGGTGACCAAGCCCTACTACTAACTTGTTTGAGTAGCATTTAGAAGTTGGTGTGATGAACAACGAGGAGAGTTCTATGGATATACAACTTCTTTAATATAATATGAGTAGCTACACCGAAACGTCGCTCATATTATATCAAAGAAGTTGTATATCCATAGAACTCTCCTCGTTGTTCAAGCCCTACTACTACCAATACAACTTATTAGAATTTATGATATGCACTTTATGCATGTCCTCAATATGTTCTGTTTGTTTAATACGAAAGTTATGCTGACCCTTAACAAAACGTATGACTCCTGACCCATCTCTCCTGATAAGAGACCGTTCATAATAAGGCTAGGGGGTGAAGATAATTTGTATGGAGAAGCATGTACAATGTAAATGGCCTCTTTTCTCTCTCTCCCCCCCCGCAAAAAAAATAAAAAATTAATAATAATAATAAATAAATAAATAAATAAATAAATAAGATCATGTACCAAGTAAGTAATCTACCCTGCATGTCATGTAGACCTTTTACAACTACTGTTTATAATCAGGATTGTCCTGGTACAACTCCGAAGTCAAAATATTAATCAAAAACAATCCAGGGACAATCGGAGAGCTTCCATGTTGGTATTTAAGTCATACATCACCCACCTTGTGTATGTCCAACAACAACGATAATAATAATAGGACACTTGTATTGCATGTTACTCCATGCTTGATGCATGCTCGAGGCGCGCACAGTCACATAGTTCAGAGCTGTTTGAAGAGGTAGGTCTTGAGATGACGTTAATGGCTACCTACCTTGTGTGAGCCAAGAGGCGGTGGGGTAGCCTAGTGGTTAAAGCGTCCGTTGTCACGCCGAAGGCCCGGGTTTGATTCCTCACATGGGTACAATGTGTGAAGCCCATTTCTGGTGTCCCCTGCCGTGATGTTGCTGGAATATTGCTAAAAGCGGCGTAAAACTAAACACACTCACTCACTCTGATGAGCCAAAGCATTCTACATTTTGTCGTTGTTGTATTGGGAGAAGGATAGTCTATTTACAAGATGTATTGTAACCATGTACAGATGGTGTACGATGATGTGTTGTAGTGTTTTGTTTGTGATGTTAAGGAAAAGTCTTAATGACATTTTATTCTTCATCTGATTCCTAATCAAAATTTAGGTCAATTATCATGATCAAGCACATGTATGTGATGTAACGATGTTGTGACAGTTATATAGCATACAGCATGTTGCATGACACAAAGGGGCGGTTACAGCATTCACTTGTCACACTGAAGACCCGGGTTCGTTTCCCCACATGGGTACAATGTGTGAAGCCCATTTCTGGTGTACCCTGATGTGATATTGCTGGAATATTGCTAAAAGCGGTGTAAAGCCAAACTCACTCACTCACATGACACAAGAACACTCACTCGCTCACATGATACAGGAACACACACTCACTCACTCACATGAAACAAGAACACCGACTCACATTGACTGGAGACGCACGTCGAACAGACACAACACACTGCTAGCAAACAGAGTCAGACATTTTTTCTGTATTGTTTTACATACCTTCAGAAAATTGCATTTAAGATGAATTTCATACTTTCATATTATCTTCATCTGTGGGGGGATGGCTCAATGTTGGAACGAATTTAGACCTCCCATTTCCATGGCTTAGACTTTAAATTCACAGAAGAAACGATTTTGTTGCTGTTTACCAAAGTTCTTATAATGAACAACCAGTATTAGATGTGGAACGATATATATTTGGCAAAAAGGTTGGAAATCGTGGTTATCTCAACTATAAAAAAGAATCAGGATTGTGATAAAATTCTATTCCATGCTGGTTGTGGTTTCCATAGTTGCATTTCTTTGTAAAACCAGGATCACAAAGAGTTCGTTCTGCTGTGACTGTTGCAGCATACGAAATCTATGCTGATCCTGTGGTTCCTGGCTAGTAAAAATTCACCAGGACCACTAAATTATAAGTCTGCAGTGTTCCTGGTGGCCAGTGAATTTTGTATTGATATTTAAATCTACAAATGTTATTTTGGACCATTGAAGTACAGACAAGACCACTAATTATTGTCCACTCACTGGTCCTGTCAGTCTAAGTAATTTAGGCTCAGTATTATTCGTTACACTGCAATACTGAGTCTAACAAACCCTAGTAGAAGGTCACGTCAGCTAACCTTTTGGACTGACCAATCAGAACACAGCTTACCAAATCGTGAAAGTTAAACATACCGTTTGAACCTTTACCTAAAAAACTTGAACGATTCCGAATGCTATTTTCCGCACGATCGCTTCCGAGTGATACACATGGAGGACGTGAGTAAACAGTCACTGAAAATAGCGTTTTTGTCAATATTCAAGGAAGTCATCTTGCAAAAATATAAGCTAATAGTAACCATGTCATTAGAAACCCATAAGCGTATATACTGCAGGTCAAATATCTGTGTTTTATGCAGATTTTTGTTTATTGATAGATCGGTGTCGGCGACCAGGGAAGAGTAAATACAAACCATTTTGTAAGTCCCGCTGAACCCTAACAAGTAGTCGTTGTCTGAATGGTTAAATCTGTTCGTCCATCTCATGTTTGATTGCACAGTCATAGGTCGCTCAAAGGTTAGCTGACACGACCTTCTACTAGGTTTTGTTAAGACTCAGTATAGCAGTGTAACGAAAAATACTGAGCCTAAGTTTACGTAGACTGTGGTCCTGTGGTCTAGTTGGAAATTTTGAAAGGTTTCTTTTCCTGCTGTTGTCACATTGTAGAATCTAGCTTTAAAATACCAGTTGTCTTGCCTGTCTGTATTGACATTACAGTGTTTGGATGTGATTATGTGGTGTCTTATACCTGTCACATCATCATAAAACCATACTGACTCACTACTAATAATTAGTAGGTGGGTATTGCAAGGAATTTTCATATTGCGATAAATTGCGATGCGAAAGCCTGTATTGCGATATGTATTGCAATATATTGCAAGAAGTTATCTTTAACAAAAAATATGTATAATCGAGTTAATGCTTGATTTATAAAGTAAAAACGCAACAAAATCACAATGCTTGATTAGGCGTTAATAAAAACTTTTAATCATGACAAAATAAAAATGTAAATAATGTTTGGCACAAATGAAACAAGGAAAGGAACAATTTAAAAAATGGAAATATCCGAAGATTTCCGAGTGTTACGAAGTTTTCCGAATGCATGTCAAAATACCGGTTTTCGATCAGCGTATCGCAATACGTATAGTTTTCATGTCTGAACCGGTAAATCGGTTATATTGCGCAGCCCTTCTCATAATGTCATCTTCTCAAGTAGTCCTGTTTTTTCCCTCTAAATCAAAAGTTTCATATATGTGTCTGTTGCTATGGTGACAGTATTGTTATATCCACCGAATGAACTTTTTGCACACATTGTCATAGTAACAGTGTGATATCCACCGGATGTATGCTGTATTCAGTGTATTCTATAAGCATGATAAGTGCTGGTCATATATAATGTCATGCTTTGATATCATGTGTTTCATATTTATATATGCTTTCTTATATTTAAATAAAAGACTTTATTATCAGTTGTTGTTGTGAGTCATTTGAGATGTGAAATGATATTTCCAGGTCCTTTTTTTGCATTAATTTTCAATTAGATTTTCAGTTTAAGTACCAGGCACTGTTTTGGTTGAAATGTATGAACCATCTCCAAAATATGCGTAATAATGCAGAAAAATTGAAACAGAAAATGTTTAGGTATGTGTCTGAGGCTGACAAGTGTAATCTTTTATCAGTGTGAGTGAGTTAAATTTAACGCTGCTTTTAGCAATATTCCAGCAATACCACGGCTTGGTCACCAGAAATGGGCTTCACACATTGTAGACATGTGGGGAATCAAACATGGGTCTTCGGCCTGATGAGATGATGTTTCAACCACTAGGCTACCGCCCTTTATCAGTGTGCATCTGGGATTGGAACACATGGATTCTGGGGCAGCTCATCCCTATACAGCAAACATGCTATTTGGCTGGTTGGATGACAAATTAGAGTTACTTCCCTTAGCTTAGGATGCTTGTCTATCTACACTGTAATTTTCCACTTACACATGTACATGACATGAGTGTATATGCTTCATCAGACTAAGGCCACAAAGTATTTATGTTGACTGTACAGTGACTGATGCTCTATAACCACATGATTCTGTTTACAATATTATTAGAATTGGCATCATCTATAATAATCATAGTAGATTCGATTCTTGATCTGGGACCCGTGAAGATCCCAATTCCGTAGATGATGCTCATGCTATTGATCACTGGATTGTCTGGTCCAGACTTGATTATATACAGACTGCGTAAAGTCCGCTCACTGGTCCAGAGCGATTATATAGCTGGAATGGCTGGAATTTTGCAGAGTGCAGTGTTAAACAATCAATGTTGAAATGTCCATCATATCAAATTAGTTACGTCTGAGTGAGTTTTGGTTTTACACCGCTTTTAGCAATATTCCAGCAGTATCGCGGCGGGGTACACCAGAAATGGGCTTCACTCATTGTACCCATGTGGGGAATGAACCTGGGTCTTCGGCGTGACGAGCAGACACTTTAACCACTAGGCTACCCCACAGCCCCCGTGAAGTTGATAAGAGTTGTTGAGTAGGTGATGTCATTTCCAAAACAAGATGGCGTTGAATGGATCCAGAGTGTTTATCAGAATAGAATGAACAATATTGGACAAACAAGGATTATTATTAGTTCTGTTACAATTCACTTGTGTATTCTATAAATAGAATCATTCGTGAATTTAATGTCATTCATGATAATAGAATCAGATATTTACAGATATTTTTCTGAAGAATGTTTTTCATTTTTTGAACTCATGGAACATTTACAAGCCATGCAGTAGTGTAACTTGTGACATTTGCCAAAGCTTCTTTCGCTTCTGTGATTGGGTTGCAAGTCTCAATGTCACAATGTATTGGGGTTTTTCGGCAATGTGAAAAATGTCATTGAAATCTTTCAAGCCCAACAGTTACATGACGTTTGTTATTTAATTTCTTGATACCAGAAAATGTATACATAGGAGATTTGTATTCTTTAAACACATTTTCGAGAAACATCATATTCACCCCATAGTGTATTCACTGCAGCAATTAGTATGTTGTATATCCATATATTGTATATGTTTTTAATTGTTTTTCAAATCAAGACAATCAATGTCCCAGTTCTGCTAAAAAATCCTCAAAGAGCTTTTAAAAATTTCGTTAAAAATCTATTAAATCATACAGTTTATTCTGATAAAACACAAATTTGGGTAAAAATATATTTACTCCTCCACTGTGGTTGGGTAAGTTGCCTTCCTCCATGACAAAGACTCAAACACAGTATGTGAGTATGTGATGTTTTAATGCATATGAACAAATACATCTGTGCACATCTAGATAGCTATAATACACTTCCATTTACATCAGTTACAAGGTTTATACATGACTGTAATACATTAGTTGGACATGTTTCATCAAGTGGACTTGATAATCCTAGGATGAAAGTCTTCCCAACTGTCCTGGATTACCTGAGGGTAGCCTCACACAATCACACAAGTGGAGTATAGTGATACCCCACTGTCAAAGTCTCCCAATGTGTGTCCACTCCTCCACGAATACTTGAGGGTAACCACACACTACACATGGGTAGAGCAGGTCCTGACATCCCACGGTGAAAGTCTTCCAATGGTAGCCCCACACAACACAAGGGTATTTTAAGTCCTGATACCCCTGGGTCAAAGTCTTACCATGTGTGTCCTGTCCTCCAGGAATACTTGAGAGTAACCCCACACATCACATGGGTAAGAGCAAGACCTGTTACCCCAAGATGAAAGTCTTCCCAGCTGTCCTGTCCTCTTGGAATACCCAAGGGTAATCCTTCACAACACATGGAGCATAGCAAGTCCTGATATCCCATGGTGAAAGTCTTCCCTGCACTAATCCAGGAATATCTTGGGGTAACTTTTCACAACAGACGACTGCAAGAGGTCCTCAACAAATCACAATGTCATTATCAGCAACAAAACAAGGCTATTACAATATGATGCTATCACTAACTGGTTAAGAAAATAGAATTATTAAATGATAGTAATTGATACCTTGGAAGTAACCCAACTCCATGCATCATCAAATTATATGTTTCTGCTTCAAGGCTAAATAATAAAAATAGAAATCGCTATACCTAATTTTGAATTTATGAGGTTTCAATCTACTGAGATACTACTGCCTGAGATTACTGGTGATTTCATACCATCAGCATTGTCGAACGATATCATATTTTACGCGTAAGTTTTAATTCCTTAGAGACTTTGCTTCTCTAATCATAGATATGAATGAGTAATATTCAAACTGGAATGACACAAGTGATTGTCAGTTCATTTTGATTTTGTTTGACCTATAATCAGTCCTTCCTGGATTCCGCGGTTGCAGAATAAATCACGGAAATTACCTTTTGATGCAGAAAAACGTATGGTCCAAGGAAAACTCATTTTCATGCAGAATTTGCCATTTTTCTGCTGCAGAATTCACTTATATTGAAAGTTGAATCAAGATTGACTATCAACCGAAATGAAAAGTAGGGGGTAAATGTCAAAAGTATGATTAGTTACATGAAAACGAACTGAGACATTTGTTATATGGATATTTTCAAAATATTCATGAATAAAGATGATTTATTCATAAGGTAATATTTTCTTCAGCACCTTACAATAATATAATTTGAATTTGACACTGCAATTATGTTCGCAAAATCAATCTTTTTGAAGATTGAAATTGCATTATTTTGAGTGTTTTTTTTCTTCAAGTTGTTAACTGCAGAATTTTTTGCAGAATTTTCAAAAATGGGATGCAGAATTTACTTAAATTTGCCGCAGAATTCTTAAAAAATTGTCACCGATTCCAGGAGGGACTGTATAACTAAAAATAACGTTGATGAATCAGTGAGTTGTACTTAATGTCGTAATCAAACTTCTGTTTATTCCTCATGAATCGAACAGATATGATGGGCTAGATTGTGATCCTGAGTAAATCACACACAGTACAAAAGGCCCCAAACCCTAACACACACCACCCTGTCACCCCTACCTCCTAACCACTGGGTTTCAGTCTGCTCAAGCATCAGTATTCACCAAACTACCAATACATTATCAATTAATTGGCCCTGATCACATAAATGACAAAGCAGAAATTGTCATCAAAGTTTACATAAATATACAGATAAATACAATGGATTCAGAATACACAATGACCACCCAAACCTTCTGTCGTCTGTCTCCCAGATCCTACAGAATGAATTAAATATGGAATCTAACTCAGTTCAGAAATAACTTGATAAGTCTAGATTGCCCAGCTTGGAAATAAATAGAGGTTTGTTTTAAATGTTGGTCAATGATATTTTTCTCACTGGTTTATTTCAAGTAGTAATGTTTTTAAAAGGAACATTCCTGTAGATCCATGATGACTTTCCTATTTCTGGTAAAGCTGCCTCTTTCAACCATCAATGTCTTACAGGGAACACTGTAGAGTATCTGGAGCTGATATTGTCATGCCTGTTTTATCATGTTATCTTTTGTAGTATGCAAGTTGGGATATTTGGCATCTGCTATCGTGTTTGAATAGTTTAAATTGTACAAGTACACTTACCTCAACACAGAATCATGGCCATGCAATGTCTAAACATTACACATTTTAGTTTCAGTAGGTATCTGAGGCTGTTGCTGAAATTTACGAAATAAAATCCAAACCGAGTCCAGAACTAATCTTTATGTGGAACGGTCTGCAGAAGGCAAACTAGCAGAGCTGAGAATCTACTAAGAGACAGTTCTTTTCATCACGAGTTGACAGAAAACAGATCCAATCTGTCAGTAAACAAACTCTATAATTTTATAAACACTATGGCTCTCAGGCATAAGCAGCCTATCATGGACTGATGTTATTTTTTCAACTTTGAAACAATTCTTTAATCCAGGTGGGAAACATGGGGACAAATAATACATTCAACATATATGCATAATGTTACGCTTTTTCGTGAATATTTAGGCCTATATTTTATATACTGGGGCATATGCCCTCACTTTAGCTTCCTTTTGATGCAATAAAAGACTTATTATCCCTTTAGACTTGCCTGAAATTGATTGTCTGTGTTTGCTGAATACTGGTTTCAAACACAAGTTGTGCATAAGATATTCGTAAAGAGCTCTCTAAGGGACATAACTCTATGAGGTTTGCTTGAAATAACGTTTGTCTGGCTGAGGGCGCGGGATACTCTATTTCCGATGACTGAGAATGAGTGAGTGAGTATATTTTTTATGGCGCTCTTAGCAATATCGTGGTGAAATGGGCTTCACACACTGTACCCATTTCAGGAATTGAACCTGGGTCTTCGGCGTGACAAGCGAACGCTTTAACCACTAGGCTACCCCACTACCCCAATCACGATGAGAAAATGTATGAAGGTTGGTGGTCCGGCTTACATACTGGACATACCATTTTGATATTGATTTTAAGGGTCAAGTTATCAAGATCGGCAAATCAACGGTCATATACAGTAAGTAGAATTACATCTGTGTCATGATTTCCTGAAACAATTTGCTCAGATTCTGATTGTGTGTAATTTCTTTCACTGTTGGAATGGCGGAGAACATTTGCTGGCCACTGTGACAAAGCTGGTATATTGTTCTGGAACACACAGCATCAACTCACTCACCTGCTGGTTGACATGGTCCATGTACTGATGTCCAGCTTGACCGACTGGGTCAGTGACGTCCTGTATGTAGGCCTGTTTGTTCAGGTAGCCGTCCGAATGGTGATGCGCTGGTGGTGGAGACATAAGCTTCAGGTTGACGTCCACACTTATCCTTTGACCATCTGATGTTATCACTTCCTGCGATATCGGCTTCAGCTCCAGGGGGCGCCTCTGGGGGGAGGATGGGAACGAGTGTGGAGGGGAGGCATAGTTATGTGGACCTGAATTCACAGCTTGAGGCAGGAAGGCTGGACGGGGTAACGGTACTTTGGGGTTGGCAGACAACCCACTGTCACTGGGATATTTGACAAGCTTTGATCCAGGCTTCTTCTTTGTGCCTTGTTTCCCGGCCGACCTCTGCTGCAGTTTAGCAGCTCTCTGGGCCCACAAATCTTCAGCTGAGGCAGGTTTCTGATTCAATGGTCTGGGAGGGCGGTGTGCGTCTGCTCCATCTAAAGAGTTCACAGTCCGAGCAGACGACTGCCCTGCCTCATCATGTTTAGGCTTCACTTTGGGTTTGATGAAAAAAGTATCTAATTTGGACTTTTCCTCCCTTTTGATATCTCTGATTTGCTTGTAAGACTTTGGTGGTTGGCGTCCGTAGTCAAACCTGTTATTTGTGACATAATCATACATGGGCCTCTGTGGACTTGACATTTCCATCTTTGGTTCCACATTTTCATTCACATATCGATCAACTCTATTCTGGTTGGGGTATCCTCCTCTCAACTCAGGTCTGTTGTCATACTGACCATTCTCAGGCCTACCATTTGCATCATCATAGTACATGTAATCGCCATTAGGATTAGCTTGTTCATATTCGTTGTACTGAGGACGATAACTTGATTCTGAATCATATGATTGATGAATTCTATCCTCGGGGATAAAGGAAGAAACATGAGGATTCCGTTGTGGGTATCCTTGATTGTTGTCATAGTAACCAGAGGTCGGAAACTGCTGTTGATGAGGGTAGTCTCGCTGCCCTTGAGGAGATGGCTCATAATACTGAGGCTGGGCTTGGTATGTCCGACCTGAAAGTTGATTGGGATGCTTTTGATATCCTTGATGTTCCTGTGGATAGAAGGGAGGTTCACTTGGAGGTTCCGGGTAGTCATCTCTCCGTTGTTGATGGCGGTAGTCTGTTTCTGAGGTGTACCCATCCACAGCATTTTGTCTATGGAACTGACCCCCTACGTCCTCCTTCTCCGCCTCGAAAGGAGGGGCCGAGAAAGGCTGGGGAGGTGGGTTCCTCCATGTGGTGTTCTCCATCTGTCCATATCTCGGGGCAACACCTCGATCAGATTGCCCTGGGTACAGTTCCATGGAATCACGGGGTCCACTGCCTCGGCCCTCACGGTAATTATCTCCAGCCATATCTAGAGAATCTTGCATGAAGTCATGATCCGTGTCAGGGGATAAAGGTAATTTAGGGATTTCCGCACTTTCTAATGTCTGTCCGCTCTGATGTATTCTTTGTTTCAACACATCCTGATATTTGGACTCACGGTCCAGCTCTTCTTCATCTCTTGGGTCAAATGTTGGCTTGTCTGGAAGAACTAAACCCTTAGCAGGGCTCAACACAGATTCTTGTCGATTTGGATTTCTTAAAGCTGACTTGTAAGTTACATCATGACCTTGACTTGACCTGTGAGCAGCCCTCGCATCTTCCTCAAGGTCAAGCTGGTTTTTGTCTTCAAATCTATCGCTATCCTGATACCGCACGTGTTTGCCACTACTCTTCTTCTTGGATTTGTTTTGGACAGTTGATTCATCAAGCTGCCTGTAGGTGTCACTCATATCCTGGTAATCATCAACGCGACTACTCACAAATCGGAACTCATCTTCTTCATCACGAGTGAAAGCTGGAGATTCCACGTAAACTTTCCGGTTTCTAGCTGCACTCATAGTATTCTGTGACTCATTCCTTAACAGAAAAACTTTACTCCTGCTGGAATCTGCTGAGTCAGCAGTCCTCCCTGTACTTCCCACCTCCTCTGCACCGACACTGGAGGAGAGAGAGTCTCGCTCAAACACGGGACTCTCCCGATTCTGGGCTTCCGGCTGAGGACTTTCTGACAGGAACTTGCAGAAAGTTTTTATCTATTTCAACCTTGTCCTTGTGTTTTGGGGTGTCATCAAAAGTGTTCTCTTGAACAACAACAGATGGAGTCTTGGCTGGAGATGGATCTCGATCTCGACTCTCAGCCTCTGGATCTGGAGACAAGGACGTTAAATGTTTCTCTAGGTCAGTCTCTGTGAACTCTAGGGAGTCAGGAAAATGGATTAATTTGGAGCCTGACTGCACAGACACAGGAGCTGCTTCTTTTGTAGGAGAAACACTATTTGTTCTTGGCGTTGGCGATTCACTATTTGACCTTGGCGTTGGAGAGGCACTGTCTGACCTTGGCGTTGGAGATGCAGTGTCTGACCTTGGCGTTGGAGACGCAGTGTCTGACCTTGGCGTTGGAGACGCACTATTTGACTTCGGTGTCGGTGTGGTTTCTTCCTCCTCTGCTACAGCAGCAGAAGTAAGCTGGGTTTCCTGAGATCTGGACTTGAGAGAAACATATCTGGGAAAGTACTGATTTGGCTGAGTAGGTGTGAGGCCTGAAGCTCTGAGTATATCAGGATTCGCTACAGCATACACACTAGTCGAACTCGACCTTCCCGCGTCCTTTATATCTGTGGAAGGAGCTCGAGCTGATGGGAGGAGTGCACTGGGTTTCGGTTGGGGATAGTCCCGTCTATATGATACAACCTGCGATGTCTGGGATTGTCTACCAACACTCTCTGTATCTTCCTCTAAAGGAGACCCTTGTTCACTTTGCGAATTGTTATTTGCGTCTAAAGGAGCCTTACTGTTCCTTTGGCTTCTGTGAGTGTCTGTGAAAGTGGACTTCTGGGTCAAACTGTCACTGGAATTTTCTGTAAGCAGTGAAAGTAGGTCGGCGTTCTGCGTGTGTATTTTACCCTGTGAATTGTTAACGTATCCTGATGTATCCTGGTTGACACTCATGATAGGCAGGAGACGGCAGCGTCGGCCATGTTAGGGCCACCACACACACAAGGAAGCCAGGATGCTGCTGCTGCTGCTGCCTGCAATAGACACACACAAATTACAAGGAGGCGGATAACTAGTTCATGAAAGTAGTCACGAAGACAATAGATCAAAGTATCAAGTGTTCAATATAATAGACGGCAGCGTCGACCATGTTAGTGCCACCACACACAGAAGGAAGCCAGGATGCTGCTGCTGCTGCTGCCTGCAATAGACACACACAGATTACAAGGAGGCTGATAACTAGTTCATGAAACTAGTCACGAAGAAAACAGATCAATAGACATTGTTTAAATTTGGTTTACGAATCCAATGAAACCTGAAATGTGAAAAAATAAATGAATTAATAAAAGCAGTGTTTTTAGTTTTCTGCAGATCATAATTAAGTATAATACATGTACTATAAAAAGACCCAACTTTACTGTTGCTTTCAATTATACATTAGAACTGATTGAAATTATGTTTCTACAAGCTTGGTTGATATCGTATCCCAATTGCATAGATGCTCATGCTGTTGATCACTGATTTGTCTAGTCCAGTGTCGAATTACAGACCATCGTCTTATAGCTGGAATATAGCTGAGTGCGGCATTATACAACAAACACACAACCAGAGGTCCAGATAAGATTTAGCTCATGTGGGTACTGTACCCACTGTATTTTTTTGGAGTGGGTATTATGAATATTGAGTCGGTTTTCATTTTCCGTTACCCACTGCTTTTAAATATGTGCGTATTTCAGTCATTTTACTGACCTAAGTATATGTCATTGAGTAAGTTTACTAAGCAGGTATGTTCTGCCTTATGTCATACCTCATCAAAACCAACTTTAATATAATGGAAATGATTTCATAAAAAATCACTCATCCTATACTGACAGTACAACACTAGTCCTATTACTAACAGTACAACTTGATAGCAATCTATGTCTTTTTCATTACGCAAGCAATTTTTATAAATATATTCCGTACGCATTTGTTTTAAACTTTTTGTGTATCTAACATTTTAAATGCATATTTGGTACGCAACAATTATTTTTTCAATGCGTAATTGGAAATTTTCTATGCGCATTTTACCCAGATACGCAGCTTATCTGGGCCTCTGAACAAGTTTATGTAAAATCAATTGGTAGCATGGGGGCCCTATTCTGGCCCTAGCTGGCTGCATGACACAACACAAGTTGAATGTTTCAGCATGTTGAGTTGGCAACACAAACAGGGCAATCCTTGAACCAATTCATACACCATGACGGCCCCGGTAGACATAGGATATCGGCGATCACGAGAACAAAGGCTTACTATTCACAGCGTCTGGTTATCTACACACAATCTCCCATCGTCATTTACAACTCAGACTGCAAATTAATGCTTTCCTACATTGATTTCCATATCCGGACACCATCTTTCCCAGACTGAAATACCTATATCCTACAGTGCCACCAGCTTGAGGAACTACAGCAATATTTCACAACAGGAACCTGCTGCAAAAGCTGATAAAACACCACAAAGTAATACAGACATTATCAAACCATGTTCAACCACAAGCTCCAGTTTTGATAAACCAGCACAATTTTACTGATTTCATCAACCCCCAGTAATTATATACAGCCTTCTCGTGGCAATCATCCTACAAATCTCTATGTTATACAAATCTCTATGTTATAAACAGCAAGTCTGATATCCCAATAACAATATTGGGCAGGCTTTGATGCAGTGTGTCTACATGAATAGCAACATGCAATGGTTTTATGGGCAGAGTGAGATAGGATCTGGAACAAATCTAGGTTGTGTTTAATAGCCAGCATGCTGTGAAGAGGCAGTCATGGGTGTAAGCCCAAGTCTTATATTACCATGTTTGTCATTTATGTTTGTGTGAAGTACTTTACAAATTGGAAAATTTTCAAGTATTAGGATCGGGTGTAGATTTATTGTGATGATATTTTTGCTAATATAAATAGTCAATAGGCAATAGTCACTCGAGTCAAGTTGACTAGCACTGACATAGGAACTACTCACTAGGTCAGGGAGACCAGTTGACCAGAGACTGAAGTAGGCACTACTCACTAGGTCAGGGAGACCAGTTGACCAGAGACTGAAGTAGGCACTACTCACTAGGTCAGGGAGACCAGTTGACCAGAGACTGAAGTAGGCACTACTCACTAGGTCAGGGAGACCAGTTGACCAGAGACTGAAGTAGGCACTACTCACTAGGTCAGGGAGACCAGTTGACCAGAGACTGAAGAAGGCACTACTCACTAGGTCAGGGAGACCAGTTGACCAGAGACTGAAGTAGGCACTACTCACTAGGTCAGGGAGACCAGTTGACCAGAGACTGAAGTAGGCACTACTCACTAGGTCAAGAAGACCAGTTTAACAAAGAGTGAAATAAGAGTAATTGGATGTGTTTGATTATGAGAAAATGTGATCGATTGCTTGGTCGTTTGGTCACTTCGACCAATGTTCGATTATTTCAATTAATCGGAACACCACTACTGTATCAGCAACATCATCAACAACTGTTTTAACCACATCAGCATCATCTGTATCAACCACTGTTTCAACCACTGCATCAATTATTATTGTTTCAGCAACATTGTCAATGCTCGTAACAACAGCATCGACAACACCTATAGAGTAGACAATGGACATGCTTCACAGTCCAGTTATCAACACAAAAACACTGTCAAGTCAATACTATTTCCTTCAGCGAGTTCGTGAAATTGGACGACATTGATTGTAACTGCAGGATATCGATGTTGCTCAGTCAGCGGTGATACTCTGCAGATCAGTTCAATGAGAGCAAACACAACCAAGTTTCCTATTTTGTTTAAGATAGTGAATTATTCAGTACATGTTGACTAAATATTCTTCACATTATAAATAGCAGAGCAGTCATTAGCAGTTAGCAAGCTCCCATCTGAAAGTCGATTACGGCAAAGATGTAGAACAACACAGGTGTATACATACAGGCTACATACGCGAATGTCATCACACAATAGTGTATTCCAGTTCAGAGAAAAGTTATTTAATATATGCAAATTTTGATTGTGAAATTTAACTGTTTTCCCTAAATGAGTAATGTAATGCCAGAGAGCGACATCGTGTTGGATTCTAGGCGCAAAATTTAGCATTATTAGTATTATTATTATGTTCATGTCATTCTGTGAATGTTATCGAAAATAAAACCAGTATGTGATTAGGATCTTTGTTGCTTGATGTCGCATTCATTAATAATTCAGTCCTGATAATCCAGTGATTGACATAACAATCACCAATACTAATACTGATGCCAACGTCTCCTACTGATGCCAACATTCTCCTACTGATGTCAACATCTCCTACTGATGCCAACATTCTCCTACTGATGTCAACATCTCATACTGATGCCAACATTCTCCTACTGATGCCAACATTCTCCTACTGATGCCAACATTTCCTACTGATGCCAACATCTCCTACTGATGCCTGATCATTCTCATACTGATGCCAACATTCTCATACTGATGCCAACATCTCCTACTGACGCCAACATTCTCCTACTGATGCCAACATCTCCTACTGATGCCTGATCATTCTCCTACTGATGCCAACATTCTCATACTGATGCCAACATCTCCCACTGATGCCAACATTCTCTTACTGATGCCAACGTCTCCTACTGATGCCAACATTCTCATACTGATGCCAACATCTACTAATGCCTGATCATTCTCCTACTGATGCCAACATTCTCATACTGATGCCAACATCTCCCACTGATGCCAACATTCTCATACTGATGCCAACATTCTCCTACTGATGCCAACATTCTCCCACTGATGCCAACATTCTCATACTGATGCCAACATTCTCCCACTGATGCCAACATTCTCCCACTGATGCCAACATTCTCCTACTGATGCCAACATTTTCCTACTGATGCCAACATTCTCCCACTGATGCCAACATTCTCATACTGATGCCAACATTCTCATACTGATGCCAACATTCTAATACTTGACTTGTTAAAATGTCAGCCAGTATTTGTCGAAGGAACTGAAAGCAACAAAACTTTTTTATGTTTTGCATGTTGTTTTTGTACAAGTGTCAGTGATACAAACATGCTACATTTGAACGGTAACATCAAACTATTTTGCACAATCTCATATGTTGAAAGGCTGTTTGTTGTTCCGTAGCGATACACTTGTTTTGAGTTACAGCTACTAGACATTTTAAGGTGGTTAGGGATGGTTGCACTTCAGATGGTTGCAGTACATTTGATTATAGATACGGAAAAAATATCCAACTCTAACAATGGAATAATGGTTATCTTTCCGCTGGGAATCAATGTCACAGTTCCTTCGTTGGCTTCGGTTGTTCAGTTGTCATGGATCAATCGTTCACTTCAGTTGTTCGGGATCAATAACATTAATTTATCTCAGGAAAGATAAACTGAACTTTGTGTCCCAGTTCACCCAGCAGGGAGGGCTAGGCAGTAGGGAAAATAATGTGGTTCAGGGACTTAAGACAGACTAGTTCTGGGTTCTAATCCTAGATTCAACAAGATTCGGTTGTTCAGTTGTCATGGATCACTCGTTCACTTCAGTTGTTCGGGATCAATAACATTAATTCTCTCAGGAAAGATAAACTGAACTTCATTGTAGCTCGCTAGTTAATATCATATTCTAACCCTGATCTTCACAGGGGAGTTATTTACAAAGATAGACCCTACCTAGCTACAAACATGAACTGTATCACGGAGATGAATACTGTGTATGGTGATGTCTTTTTCGTGGTATAAGGGGGCACAGGTCGTTCTGTTTATCAACTGGTTCTGGGTAGACTAACGCATAGTCTCTGAATATATATAAAATTGATAATAACAAACAAACCCATTTAAATTGAAAAGGAGCCCCAGTGAGTTGGGAGATGTTGGGGGCGCGGTGGGCGAGCTGGCTAAGTCACCAGGCTAGTGCTCCTGCGAGGTTGAGGTGTCTGGATCGAGCCCACCTGTGACCGAGTGTAAAGACCTTGGAGTCAACTTTGTGTGCAGACTCTTTCAGTGTT